GGACAAGAATATGTGACCTTTAAAAGGACTTTGATTTTGAATTGAAGTCCAGAATTTAAACCGTCTTTGGAGCAGGAAATAAAGAATACACGCCCACTTTGGGGTTGTCACAATACCAGACTTTAAAACTTGAATACCATACCAGGAACATTTAAACTATTTTAACACTAAGGTAGCGAAAGTAGAAACCAAAGGCACCTAATTTGGGGTCAATTCTTTTTCTTCTTTCTAAACATTGCAGACAAACTCCAGCACCCAGGGTCTGAATTATACAAAACGTGCTGGTGAAGTTCTCTGTGTTTAACTTGCAGCAGTGTTTTGGTGAAAAATACGACTGAAGATCTGAAGTTTCATCACTTTTCGAAACGTTGGATCATCAGAATAACAGAGATTGTTTTTAAGATGTGGCATCAACCTTACTCTGTGACTTTACTTGCAAACGTGTTGTTGCATGCTACGTATTTTTCTTGCAAACCCGACAGTGTGAAAGTTTAGATCTTTTTAAAGATCTTGTTTCTTGTTTCCTAGCGCTGTTCTGGAACGTCAGGCGGCGTCATCACGCTGTTAATGGTCTGATCATGCAGTCTGATATTGAGCATGATGGTTCATGAGAGGAGGGACGAGCTACCTGCACTCCGGACCTAAAGGTGTAAACACCTGTCAGTCAAATGGGAACAAACACAACCATATCTGTTACGAAAGCCATCGAAGAGATCCTGAACCCAGCACAGACTTCAGATTTAGATTTTTAAAAGTGAAACATGCATTCAGAGAGAAGTTAAATGTTTGGTTTGAAGAAGTGTCAGTCAGCCTCACTGCAGGACGCTTCTGGTTTATTCTTAATGACATCATCAAATGTTCTGGTTTCTGCTGGTTGACCTTTTTTTTTTTTTTTATGAGAATGTTTCCACAAGTTGAACTGAAAACAGACCACCTGTTGCCCTCGACAGGACGACACTACCGATGATGTTTGTTGTGTTTGGAGATTGTAACACCAGCAGCACGTTCATGTTTCTGTGCCATCGTCTTTATTGGGAATGTAAAGCTCACTATAACGTGTTTGTATGGATTTTTACTTCCTTGTTATGCTTCAGAGTTAAAGGCACAAAAATTAAAGACCGTGTTCAAAGAACGTGTTCTTTGGTTTCACTTTATGACGTGTGAATCACATCGCAGATTTAATGTTTTTCAAAGGCAGGGTTGGCGTGTTCTCTGAAAAAGGAACGAAGAAAATCTGTCATCTGTATCAGTTGTAAGTCTGTAAAAACTTCCACCAATGTCTGCCACGAGGTACCAATCTGATGAACCAATCACAAGCCTCCCTGCCTCCCTGCTCGCTCTCTACCTCTTGCGTCCACTAGCCCACACTCAAAGCGCGTCACCGATGACAGAGTTTATACTGAGTTTACTTACTGCTGAATGAGACGTGAGATAGTTTCTACACAATGTAAGAGATGAGCTGAGGTCCACTTCTGGAGCAACGGCGCTCGTGCATGTAAGTGAGGGGCGTGGCTTTTGAGGGAGAACGGGGGGGGGGAGGGGGTGTAGAAGAGGCACTGAGGGAATGCTACTTTCAAAATCATGCTTGTTAAAACTTTTTTACCAACCCTGCTGTAATGATTTAAATGTGATAAAAAATGTTGTTCATGAAAACTCAATTAGACTTAAGTGGATTTTTACACCACAGTAAAAAATCCTGACGTTTTCAGGGCGAGCTGCGTGTGTGAACCATAGTCTGTAAATATGAATGTTTGAAACCTCAGTGACGTCACCTGTCTGTTCCTGCAGGGGGTGCTGGAGTCCGATCGATGGCGGTCTCCATGCTGGAAATGCTGTCTCAGCCTAACTTTCAGGCCGTATCCGAATTGCCAAGTACATACTCAATCTTTCAGTATGCAGTAGGCAGTATGCAGTACGTACTATCCGTGCTGTATACTGTTAGTACCTACTATTCAGTATGCACACACAGTATGCAGATATTTTGCCTACTTCGTCTGATTCATTCAGTATGGAAGTGACGTCATTTACGTTACCCGAACCGGCCGCATCCACCCGTTTTTTTTTTGTTTAGCTTTATTCAAGTAAAAGACAGATTAATTAACTAAATCACATACAGTACATAAAGAAAAGTACAAATGAAAGACAGTAAGATACGGAATATAAAGTAAAATAAACCAATAAAGACGCATTTAAATAGTGAAATCATTATTTAAAGAGGGGAAAAGGTTTTATAATAATGCAGACATTTGTTATATTTTCTGTTGTTAATTTAAAGTAGTGATTTCAGTCAGGACTTTAACTCTAGATTAAAAATTGATTAAATTAATCCACGCTCGTTTGTTTTCATTTGGAGGCGCACGTGACGTGCCAATTTACGTGTAATTTCGCACAGTATTGTGGGTGGTAAAATCACGCATCTGATCCATACTGCATGAAACCCGGAAGTTAGTATCCATACTGAAATGTTCAGTATATTGAGGTGGACCCAAAAAATGCATACTGAATGACCACGAAAGTTCAGTATACTGAAACTCCATACTGAATAGTACGTACTGCATACTGAACTGTGGCTATTCAGAAAGGGCCTCAGTCAACCTAAAGACGCTTGATGAACCGTTACACCATGCCCACCTGTCACTCATGTCAGCTACACACCTAACTATGGATAACACGTATCGTTTATAAAATCAAAGTGGAGCAGTTTAAAAAAAATCACCCCCCTACAGTGTGTGCCCATGATGACAATAACTAATCAGACCTCTTTGTTTTTTTGTACCAGGCTGTAAACATGTTTATTTATGCTGTCATATGTATGTGACTTCCTGAGTTCCTGCAGCCAGCCTCTAGTGGACACTCGAGTAACTGCAGGATTTTACACTTCCACATCGTCTTTTTAAAGACCGGAGGTTGCTGCTTGGTGTGCACACATCCCACTTCAGGTCACCCCTGCATAAGTCAGTTCCCCAGTTGGTCTGACCCTTGGGGTCAATAAAGTATCTATCATTACGGCGTTTCACTGCTGTAGAATGAAGAACTCTACTGGAGACGGTTTGAATCATTTCCACCTTTTTCTGTCATTTAGACCTGAATGTGTAAAGTCCCAGGTATAAAAAACAAAAGAACGAACCTTTAATGTGAACTGATCCATCCTCCTGTGTCATAAATAACTCACGTTGAATGCCACATGAATCACAGTTGAAAACTTTATTTCACATTAAATCTGCTCTCCTTACGCTTCAACAGTATATACAGAAAGGTGCATTACAAGAACGATGTACATTATGTAACAGTGTGTGCAGATAAGAGTACACAAAGTGGACGAGTAATGAGCCGAGCGGGACGCACCCCGCCGTCAGACTGAAGAGGAGGATGGAGGCAGAGACAGGTGAATCACTGCAGACATGCACCTTCACCTTCACCTGTCCGCTCTGCCATGTTGGCTACACCTGCGTCTTTGAACAGAGTCAGAATACCAGAATTTTTAAACGCTGATGCATTTCAAAATCAAATGATATCGATTCCACAGAAACAAAAAAAAGAAAATTCCTAAGCTCCTGATATCGTGTTAATTACCAAAAAGTGCAGTCAGACTCCGCAAGCCGTCTAAATTACACAAATTGGACGTTGCCAATGTGTTTGTGCAACTCAGACTCTGCTCTCTCTCTTTTGCAGCTTTTGGTTAAAATATGACTACAGATGTTTTAAAGCTTCGATACAGATCTCGTATCGTTCTGAAACACGGGGAATTTTAAATTTTAGTTTAATAAGTTAGTAGAATTCCTAACATTTTCCCCATGAAATGTTGCATTAACAAGAAGATAAAAAGGTTATTCATCCACACTGAAGCTCCGCCCCTCCTCTGTTCTGACATCACTCAGCAAAAAAACAAAAAGCTAAAGCAGCTCAATCTTCTGACGCGAGCCCGTCATGTAAAAATCAGCGTTTGTAGGATTGTCCAGTGGAGAAAAAAATATATAAATCGAGCAAAATGCAAACCCACACAAACCAGCATTGTTCTGAAATAAAAGACGAGTGCAGAGCAAACCGAAACCGGCCAACAGTTGTCTTCATCAGATTATTAATCATAAAAACAGAGTGATTGATTGTATCCATGGTTACAGGTGTGCAGGAGAGACGTCAGTCAGAAGCTCCACTGTCAGCCTCTGATCCGAGTCACACTGCTGAACTCAAAAACGTTTTCATGAATAAAGGGAAACTTTTGAAACCTGCTGCGGCACGAGACAATAAAAACAGAAGTTCTACTCCTGATTAGCTGTCTGAACTGCACAAACATGTCGGCAACATTTCTGTATTTGTGCAATTTATATAGTGTGCAGGAGCCTTCGATGATTAAAATTTAAGGATTTTAAAGGTCACATATTCTCCTCTTTTTCAACCAGTGTAACTAATTCTCAGAGCTCCTCAAAACATGTTAGTGAAGTGTCTTGTTCTAAATCCACTCTGATCCTGTATTTGATCAGAGTTTCTCTATTTCAGCCCTGCTCAGAACAGGCTGTGTCTGTGTCTGTACCTTTAAATGTAAATGAGCTGTGTCTGACCACGCCCCCTCTCTGGAAGGGCTCGGGTGTCTCGGGCATTCTCACACCATGTCCTATTGTTTACAGTGAGAAGGCAGACTCAGAGGGCAGAACAAACACCTAGCTGTGGGAGTGGCACCCACCTGGGGGAGGGGCTACTGCCCTTTGTGATGTCATGAAGGGAAAATCTCCAAACGGCCTGTTTGAGCACACATTTTCTAAAAAGTGGAGCAGGTTAAAAGAGGGGAGAGGATGGACTTTTCTCATCAATGGAGGGTTTGTAGACAGACTAGAGACACATTTTAGTGTTAGAGGAACATGGTGAAGTGGATTTTAAATCATGTGACCTTTAAAACACGTGGTATCGAAACATATAGAACATTTTGACAACCATAGCCGAGAGGACTTTCTGTTTCTATGAATGAAATTTTCCACACTTGAAGAACAGACAGCAGGGCGGGCTCTCTGGTACTGATGAGTTTATTGTGTGATTATTTTACTTTGTACCTTCATGATGAGAGTGATAGTTCTCTCTCTCGTACTGTTTGTATTTATGGTGTTATTACACAGACTGTGGTCGGCTGCAAGTAAAGTATCAGCAGAGTTAAGACCGGATTAAATAAATAAAATCATTAAAACACTCCCTCTCTCTCTCACTGTGCTGCACGGCCGCCTCACAGTCAGAAAGTCCATCACGCTGCTGATCAATAACACTTCACTTCATGTTTGGAGCTTCAGCCCTGCGCGGAGAAGCTTTTAACTCATTAATGACAAAAACCACTTCGCATCACCGCTGATGAACGTTTCTCCAAACAGCTCCAGACTGTGGAGAGACAGAGGAGGCTGAGTGTTTCCACGGAAACCGGTCAGGAGTTCCTGTGATGTCATGATTACCGCCTCTGGCTTCATTGAAAATGACGTCTGACATGTTTTAGCTCATTTTAGAACCGTTTATTAGAAATTACATTAAACCTTCATTCTTCCTAAAGCCCAGCAGGATGCGACTCCTCTCTTTCCAAATAGATGTCTGATAGCGGAGAAGTCTTTGGTCCAACCTCTCTGTTGATTTATTCCTCAGGAAACTTTTTGTATGATCTTAATCTCTAGTCTGAAGTCTCGACAAAGCATGATGTTCATTTGGTAAATTAGACAGCAGGGGAGGATTTAGGGCGGGGCTACCTGGGATCGTCAGGTCACTGTGACAGGCATCTGAAAAATGTGTTTTCAGCACGAATGAGCTGTTCAATTTTTAAAACTTGTTTCTTTTATCGAGCCAAAATCAGCACCCGAACAGATAAATAACGGGTTTGCCCTGAAAATCAAGCTAGCGTCCCTCGTTCTCCGGCTCCACCCTCTCATCAACATGTCAACAAGGTGCTGACAGTCAACATGTCTGTGATCATGAACGATCACATCCTGTTTAGGTCACCAGTGTAATCAACAGGCGCCAACCTGTAACTACAACATCAAACATCAGAGGAGACTCCGACCAATATGAGAATGTTGGCGCCGATATCTTTAACGATGGGTGGGGGGGATCAGATACCGATATATCGGGCGATATCTTTCTTAGATCTGCGTCTGATCTGTAGAGATGGATATATAAACACATTTATTATGTTAATTCCTCAGATGCAGTTAGCAAACAAAAGTAACTGACCATGTACGTGCATCACTGCTCGACACTCTGAGAGTGCTTGTTGTAATCCTAAAAGCGCCCTCTGCTGGTGACAGTCAGAAAGAGAAATGCCAGTGTAATACAATGATGCTCAAATTAAATGCTATTTTTTCTCGTAAATAAATCGAGTAATATTGGCACATATCTGTGATAAAATTAGCCAATACCGATAGTCACTGAATAAGCTAATATCAGCCGATTAATCGGTCAGGCTTTACATCACCGCACTATTATTTTACAGCCTGAATAAGAGTTTTTATTTCGCCTATTTATGGGGGAAACGCACGTAAATGAAGAATGATAAAAGAGAAACATAATCACATAACAGTGAAACTATCACAGCGTGTTACATGATGTCACCCTGTCGAGTGAATCGTATCGTTCTCGCAGTAACACGCAGGCCTACCTACAGAGAGAAAGACTGAGATAAAAAAATTATTTGTTTTTACATCAGGGAAATGTGCCTCCATATTGGCACAACTGAGCACATTATAGACAAGTAAAGATATTCAGTGTTTTAGACAAATCATTTCAGTGTATGAATTGAGGAGCAGCAGCAGAAGCACAAATTAGAATTTCAACCGAAGCCTTAACAGCAGGAAACGCAGAACCCTTTGGCAGGAATTATGGGATTTGTAGTAAAAAGAGCTAAAACATGAAAGACTCTGATTCTGTTTTGATCACAGCTCGTCTCCTTCAGCAGACATCAGAGACATTTTAAAAGTGGGCGTGTCCTCATCAGTCCATGTTCCCCTGATGAGCTGGCAGGTTACTGAGCATGCTCTCTGCCGTTTGAAGCAGATAATGAAATGATGATGTCGTTTTTTCAGACGCAGCTGGACTTTTTGACTCTTTACTGAATGCAGCATCCGGCCCGCCCCCTTTCCTCGCTTAATGGAGCTAAACTAAAGACAGAGTGCATTTTGTATGATGCATGAGAAACTCCTCACCACTCCCCCCCCCCCTTCGTTCAGCCTCATTAGTGTGTGTGTGCCCCTCCAGAGTTTGGAGGCCCCGAGGCCCCCCGGCCCCCCCTCTGTCCGTGGTCTGTCCTGCCATGACCGAGGATGCAGTGGGCGCTGCCGCAGCCTTCGTCATCGTCCTCTCCATCGCTCTCGGAGGACGACTCTCCGAACTGTCTGGGCTTCTCGTAGATACAGCAGCCTGCAAGACGACACTCAGGGTTACAACTCATCCTGGTGATGCGTTCAATGACTCACTGTGTGTTCTCGGCGAAGAATTAAAAAACACAGGATGACACCTTCTTCAGACGTTTGTGATGTCAGGAATAGAAACTAAAGAGCGCCTGTGCTAAAAATAACTCATGGCTGCTGGATTTGATCAAACGGAGTCGTGTATCACACAGACTGTGTGTGCACACGTACAGAAGACCAAAAAAAAGGTGACAGTACTAAAATGTTGTGCACATTTTGTTGAATGAGATTTTGCAGATTATTCCTGTAACTTGATCAGCACCTTTACATCTTATTTTGTGCTCAGGTTTCGCTCCTTTCCTGTGCAGGTTAACATCACATTAATAAATGTCGTCGTTTTTAAAACAAGTACTATAAACATGTTCTCAGGAGGCTTTCAAATCATCAGATTAGTTTTCATGTCCACAGATTTGTAGATTAAAGGATGGAGAGAGGGACTCGTGGTCATGCAATAAAAAAAATAATCTGCATATTAAACATAAAAAATGCATTTATCTTTACCTTCTGATTGAGAATCTTTCAAGTTTACGTTTCCAGCATCCTTTTGATGATGGAAAAAAAAGTCTAACGTTGCCATGGAAACCGTCCTCAGCCTGTACTTCAGCTTATATATTTTTACCTTTAAGAGAATTTTTACCATAAAATCACCAGCTGTGTAAGCTTCGTGCTAACCGTGGATAGCAGTGGACTGATCTGATGCCAAAGACACCTGAGCGTGATGATTATGAAGTCTGGCCTGAAGTTGTTTCTTATATTCTGTGTTTTGTCGGCTGGTTCATAAACATTTGTCTGCAGAGGAGAGAGTCATAGTGATCCCAGGAAGTGTCTGGATAATTTCAGTCAGTGTTGTTTGTCATGATTTCATTACATATAGTGTTTAGTGTGCAGATGTGGGTTGTGGCAGCAGGGACACTGCGAGGACGCAGTGTTTACGCTCTAAAGCTCCCAGAGACACTAAAGATGCCAACTGTGGTCTGACTGCCTGCAGCCTGGCCCGTCTCCTCGATGTGTTAGGGTCCATTAAAAGTATCGATTTGAGGGTGTAAAAAAACCCCTTAAATTGAAGATATTCTTAACAGCATTTAAAGGGATCAGAGTAAAGGGAGACAGTGAAAAGCCTTGGAACAGGAGAGCGTCTTAGAAGTCGTAATAACGAGAAAGAGACGGAGCTCTTGGGGAGAGAACGTGAGCAAATCCTGAAAATAAAGCTCTCGTCTTTAGAGGGTAGAAAATGCTTTTATTAAATTGGCAAGATCTGAAAAACTGGTTCATTTTGGGGCCTTCATGTTTATATCAGAGAGACAGAACGGTGGATGGAGTCAGAAATCAGAAAGAGAGAGAGAGAGGGGAACGACACGCAGTAAAGGAGCCACAGGTCGGATTCCAGGGCTCCCTGCATTGAAGACTACAGCCTCTGTACATGGGGCGTGAACTAACCACTAGGCCACCAGAGCCCCTAGAAGAAACAGTTATTTTAACGTGTACTACTTATAGAACTTGCCAATGGATTAAATGGATTAAAGGCATCCCCCCCCCCCCCCCCCCCTTTTTTCTGAAGACGAGTGCATTGGAGAGATGTCAACGCTCTCTCAGGGCGATGGTGAACTCACACTTTGAGGATCTTCTCCCCAGGTGCTCGTTGTCAACGGTGTCGCTGGACCACTCCACCTTCTTCTCCGTCTTCCTCTTCCTCAGCTTGATGGTCAGACTGCGTCCCTCCTGAGAGACATGAGAGATTGCAGAGACGCTGCCGTGAGGACCTGATGGATCTTTACAGGGGGCATTAGTGGTGTGTGTGGTGAAAGAAGAAGCCTACAAGCTAAATATCTCTGTATGTATGCTGCAGCTTTTTGTTCTCCTTCGTTCAAATGGACCTCCCCCTCCTCCTCCTCCTACATCACAGAACTTCTGTCTGCTCGCCTAGATTATAAATTAAGTGTTTTGGGGTCAGGGCCTTTTCCACCTGTGCCCCAGAACTATGGAACTCGCTTCCCCATCACTAAATGAGTCCCGTGCTGGCCTACGGAGCTGTAAGCATGTCGGCATGTCTTCAGTCGTTTGAAGCAGATGTCACAGCATTAAAATTGTGCATGGAAAAAAAACCCCACACATTTACTTTCATAACACCCGTGTCTCCTGTCGCTCACTGAGGTTAAAATGTTCTTCCTCGGATCGTCCTGCAGCTGGCTCTGAGAGCACTGATGTACAATGTGCTCTGCTCTGTCTTGCTTTTTAACAGATGTTGAAAAAAAACAAAAACGTTTTGTGTCTTGCTGACTTGTGCAGCACTAAATGCACAGTGTCTGCCTTTACTTGTCAAAATGTGCCAGGCTAGCAGAAGGGCCTGGGACTTTAATTGGGGTGGCCTTTTATAGAATAGACTAGAATATAGAATGGAATAGAGTTACTTTACTGATCCAAAACTGGGAAATTTGAAGTTTTGCGGTATATCTGTTTGTCTCTTGCACTTTGGATCAACTGTGTTGTGTGTGAAGTTACATACAAATAAAGATGATTTGATTTAATTAGAGTAAAAGTGGAAAAACAAACAACCAGAAATCCTGTGTGAGTGCAGACACACCTCAGCAGAGGATGTGCTAACTTGGGTTGTCAATACTAATGTTGCACCTTGGTTAATTAGGGTTAATGTTTAACACATGAGGCCTGGTGGAGCATCATATAGCTGGGCTGCAAACATCGTTATAACACCGTCAGACTGGTCACATCCACACTGCTGGTTTGTTTCGTTACATTAACACCACTACTCATTATCAAACAAGTGACAGCAACATCAACATCAACATCAACAACATCATCATCATCATCATCATCGTCGTCGTCGTCGTGATCGGTTACCTGCTGGGGCGGCGGCGGTGTGCTGGTCTGAACCGTCTCCGTTATCGTCTCACTTGATGTCCCGGGAACCTCCGCCATACCTGCGGCCGCTGTGCTAACGCTGCCGTTAGCTGGCTAAAAGACGCCAAAAGAACCGCAGTCAGCGATAAACGATGACTGTAATGTAACACTCCGTACGCTCCGGTTATTAACTTTTGCCCTTGAAATCAGAATCTATTGAAATAAAAGGCTTTTGATGTGAAGACGGGGAGCTGTTGATCACTTTGGTGGGATGCGGCTAACACACAGACAAGCTGTAAAATCACCCTGCGTTCACGTGTTGCGGAAATAATCGGAAAAGGAAGATTCGAACTCGGAAAATACACACGACGTCCCCTCAACTCGGCCGTTACTGCTAGTTGCTTTACACAAAGAGTGACTTGCTAATTCTAAGCGACACTCATTCCTTTATTGTATTCCTTAATGTGTTGTTTCGATATTACAACTCGAGGTGAAAACACCGAACCCCTGTTTCAACTGACTATAGGAATATCCGAGGATCAATAAATGTAACTTAAGCAAGAACGACTTAAACAGGAAGTTCAATATGGTCTACGTTCAAATATAATGTTTATTATAATGTAATATTTACAGTCTATGGGTCAAACTGCAATTATTTTAAATAAAACTCCATATTTTCTCGTAATTTATTGATTTTTCTAATGCATTCACTGTTCTGTTAATGATTCGATAATTTAGAGTTAGTTTGATAACAGATTCATTATGATCCGAGTAAAAATAAATTACCCGTTTCCACGGCAACAAAAAATGTAAATCCAATTTAATTTTTGTTTTAATTACCAAAAAATTGCAGGCAAACTCCTGGACACTTTTTAAATTGCACAAATGTATTAATATAACTTAAAATGCGCTCTCTCTTTATTTCTTGGTTAAATATTTAAACGAAAGAGCAGTAATTATTCTGACTTTACTTTTTTTCGATACTATTAACATTAAAATAATGTTATTGTTTTGAAAACACGTGGAATCTAAAAATACAACGTTTTTAATTTAATATATGTATTTTTTACAAACGCATTAAATCGTGTTTTTATTGATTTTTTATTTTTTTTTAAACGCATTAAATCGTGTTTCGAAAAACCGTAACGCCAAACCGTGTTACTCTCTACCTCGAAAAGTATTTTAATAATGGTAAGAATAAGTAATCAGGACATTTAATTTAGTTTGTAGTGAACATTATTCACTACAGTTTTATTTTGAAAATATACACAGGATGCCAAGGCTAGTGTAGTGGGGAAGATATTTCAAGACGGACAAGTTTATGTCCATCAAGAAACACCGTCCTCATTCTCAAACTACAAAATCTTAAAACAGTTATTTAAATTGTCACAATTAACTTACGGTTATACAATGATTTAATATAAAATAAATAAATATTTATATAAATGCACTTTAGTGGGTTTCCGGTGAAGAAGTAACTTACTGGACTTAGAGGTCGTAGCAGACATGCTCGGTGAGTTAAATAAACTCGTAGAAATATTAACTGTCATGATGGATAAAATTATTCTCGTGTTTTAATACATACGCTCACTGCTCTGAATCAATGGAGGCCGTTTATATGACATTACTTTGATTTTGTGGTGTATGTTTCTGGTGTTTTTAGTGTGATATTGAGGATGTGGAGGGCAGGTTGTGTCCTGACTGTGAGGCTGACGAGGAGAGGAGGAACCAGACTCTGTTCCAGCAACCCGACCAAACCCTCCTCCTCCTCCTCCTCCTCCTCTTCATCTCAGTCCCTTAAACGCCCAAAAGCTGAGAAACAGAGGCGCAGAAGAGAGAGGGACGATGCCATTCTGTCAGGCCAACATAGAGTAAGTAGGAAGAAAGCTTCAGGAGAAGGAAACTGCTCAAAATTAAAAACGAAAAAGTGACACAATTGTGATGTTTTTATTTCCAGTCTGCTGAAGAAAACACAGTGAGATGGAGTGAGAAGCAGAAGATAGTGTACACCGGGTCAACCCCACCTGGCACAAAGAAAGGTAACTGACTTCCTGTCAGTACAGTGTCAAAATATTCAGTATTATTTGATACCACATGTTTCATCGAGTGAAGAGTGTGTGGCGGTGTGTGTGTGTATCGGCAAACTGTAAACGTGTTGGTGTTTCTCTGCAGACTCCAGCCTGCCATTCCCGTCTGCCTACAGTCCAGACTATGTGGAGTCCAGCTGGTATCAGTGGTGGGAGAGAGAAGGATTCTTCAGGCCGGAGCGACATGTGAGAGGATGTTAGAACAACTTCCTAAATGTTGTCCACACTGAAGTGTTCACGTTTAAAGTTATCCTAAAGTCAATTTGACTACACTTCCTTCACTTTAGTTGTTTTTCTAGTTGTTGTTGTGATCTCTGTTACCCAGGGCCCTTGTTGCCTTAGTGACAACATCTTTACCCAGGGCCCTTGTCACCTTGGTAACAACATCCTTACCAAGGGCCCTTGTTGCCTTAGCGATAACATCTTTACCCAGGGCCCTTGTTGCCTTGGTAACAACATCATTACCCAGGGCCCTTGTTGCCTTGGTAACAACATCATTACCCAGGGCCCTTGTTGCTTGGTAACAACATCATTACCCAGGGCCCTTGTTGCCTTGGCAACAACATCTTTACCCAGGGCCCTTGTTGCCTTGGAAACAACATCATTACCCAGGGCCCTTGTTGCCTTAGTGACAACATCATTACCCAGGGCCCTTGTTGCCTTGGTAACAACATCATTACCCAGGGCCCTTGTTGCCTTGGAAACAACATCATTACCCAGGGCCCCTGTTGCCTTGGCAACAACATCTTTACCCAGGGCCCTTGTCGCCTTGGTAACAACATCATTACCCAGGGCCCTTGTTGCCTTAGTGACAACATCTTTACCCATGGCCCTTGTCTCCTTGGTAACAACATCCTTACCCATGGCCCTTGTCACCTTGGTAACAACATCCTTACCAAGGGCCCTTGTTGCCTTAGCGATAACATCATTACCCAGGGCCCTTGTTGCCTTGGTAACAACATGTCTACCCAGGGCCCTTGTTCTGATATCACAATAAAACTTCAACTGTAACTTTGGATCAACAATAGAATGACTACAAAACACAAATGTTTAACAAGTTTAAAAATGTGTTGTAGGTTCTTGATAAGTTCTTATGATGACATCCTACTTTTCTTTGTTGTGACAGAAACAACAACGACACTTGAACACTGCACAGTGTATGATTGGAAAATCTTTAATCATTAAACCTTCCTGAGGTTGGATTCATAGTTGGCTGTGTAAGCAGTGAGCAGGTGATGGTGTACAATGAGTGTGTGTTTACTGCTGTTCATTTACGTTGTTTTTTCCACATCTTCCAGGAGAGTTTACCTCAGGCTGTGGATCAGACCTTCTCTCTGTGTATCCCTCCTCCAAACGTGACGGGGACTCTGCACCTCGGTCACGCTCTCACTGTGGCTGTGGAGGACGCTCTGGTCCGATGGTACCTGACAACGACACTCGCAGCACGCTGTGTCCGACTGTCTGTCGGTGGATCAGTAACATGTGTGTTTGTTGTCCTTCAGGAGGAGGATGCAGGGCTACAGAGTCCTCTGGGTCCCCGGGTGTGACCACGCAGGCATCGCTACACAGGTACGAACTACAACAACTTAAAGTTCTCTTTTTATCTGGATGTTTATTGACTTCATGTCAAAGCTTTAAGAAGATGTGCTTTTGTGTGTGTGTGTGTGTGTGTGTGTGTGTGTGTGTGTGTGTGTGTGTGTGTGTGTGTGTGTGTGTGTGTGTGTGTGTGTGTGTGTGTGTGTGTGTGTGTGTGTGTGTGTGTGTGTGTGTGTGTGTGTGTGTGTGTGTGTGTGTGGTGTGTGTGTGTGTGTGTGTGTGTGTGTGTGTGTGTGTGTGTGTGTGTGCGTGCGTTTGCTGCAGAGTGTGGTGGAGAGGAAGCTCCTGAGGGAAAGGGAGGAGCAGAAAGGACTTCTCGAGAGAGGAGTTCCTGCAGGAGATTTGGAAATGGAAGAACGAGTGAGTGTTCACCTTCACACCGCCCCTCTTTCTTAGGGCTGTCAAACGATTCATCATTTTAATCACGGTCAATCGGGGAATTTTTAGAGTTACACCCGATTAATACATTTTTTAATTGCATGTTTGATTCTTATTATTTTGCCTTTGAGGACAGTTTTTGTCATGCTTTTGTTTTGTAGTTTGTACTGTCTTAAAATAAGGTCCCTTTACTTCCTGTTTTGACTAAAAACATGCTTTTATTTTGAAAGAAAATGAAAGAATTGATGAGTTTATTTGATAAGTTTATCAACAAATTAAGAAAGTCAAGACAGAACGGAAAATAACTGAAGTGAATGAAAACATATAAAAGAACGGTCAAAAGTGAAATGTTTGATATCACGAGGTGGATATTACTTTGGACGTCGCAGCTGAGCCTTCTGGGAGTTTATTTTAAGTGAAATCAGCCACTCGAAGGTCCAGCAGCGTCGTTCTTCATCTTCACTGCAGGAGCAGGAAGACGATACAGTGGCCCAACTACGGTGCCCCATAAGGGACAATCTAGAGATGTGATGAATACAATTAAAAAAAAAAAAAATGGATATGCTGATTTTGGACCTCAATGGAAATCACATTTAACACATTAGCGCTGACAGCCCTCCTCTTTATCTACACTGTGTGTGTGTGTGTGTGTGTGTGTGTGTGTGTGTGTGTGTGTGTGTGTGTGTGTGTGTGTGTGTGTGTGTGTGTGTGTGTGTGTGTGTGTGTGTGTGTGTGTGTGTGTGTGTGTGTGTGTGTGTGTGTGTGTGTGTGTGTGTGTGTGTGTGTGTGTGTGTGTGTGTGTGTGTGTGTGTTGTGTGTGTGTGATTCAGGAAAGGAGATGAGATCTACCAGCAGCTGAGGAGGATGGGAGCCTCTCTGGACTGGAGCAGAGCCTGTTTCACTCTGGATCCAGTAAGAAATGTTTAAAACGTGATGTGAAGTGTTTTGATGTGAATGTTGAAAACAATTCTTAAAGTTTGATCTCATTCACGGCACTGAATGTGCATGCAGCTCACCTCAAGTGTCGGCCTTCACTAGTGTAGATACGTTAAAGTTTAGCGTCAGGTTAAGGTTTAACTAACGTATTTACATTCACATCAAATCTACATTTTTTATAAACTGGAAATATGTTAAATAATGGATTATCTTTGTGAGTCAACAGGAACAAAAAGAACAGCTGGAAGTTAAATGAAATCAAGTAAAATTCTAAATTGCACAAAATGTATATAAACTTAAAGGTGCTCTACATGTTTTTGCAGCTAACAGGAGACGAGATTTTCTCAGTAAAAACAGCAACTTCTGCACCATATTATTGAAGCTTCTTTGATTTTCAACGAGTGCTGTTTCATGTTGTTTTGAATCTGTTCCCAGAGTTTCAGCCGAGCGGTGACCGAGGCCTTCGTCCGTCTCTCCGACTCCGGTCTCATTTATCGCTCTGAAGCGTTGGTCAACTGGAGCTGTGCACTGGAGTCGGCCATCTCTGACATCGAGGTGAGACTGACGGCGCTTTCACACTCGCACAAAGCTCCTGGAATCTCCCTGTAGTTTCGACATGTGTGAACACAAACGGAACCTTTTTTTTTTTTTTGTACTGGGGAAGATATCAGAGGCAGTCTGCATGAAGTTTCTTACACATTTCCAGATGTGCATGTGTGCAAACAGCTTTAGATGTAGGGGGGATTTTTATCTCTTCAAAGTAGAGACAGGATGGTGGATGGAGTCAGAAATGAGAGAGAGAGAGAGAGAGAGAGAGAGAGAGAGAGAGAGAGAGAGAGAGAGAGAGAGAGAGAGACACACACACACACAAATGTTTAAATCGCACAAATACTTTGTCATCATTACTGTTTGTTTGTGGCTGTATCCACACAAATTGTACAGATGTGTGTGTGTGTGCGTGTGAAGGTAAAGGTGTGTGTTCTGTGTCAGGTGGACTCTCAGGAGCTGTGTGGACAGACCATGCTGTCTGTTCCTGGTTACGACAACAAGGTGGAGTTTGGGACGATGGTGACATTTGCGTATCCTCTGGACGGACACGGTGAGAGATTTAGATTTGACTGTTTACTCGTTTTTATTTGCTGTAGAATGATTTCTGATGTATTCATGGTTCTCTGTCCGTCAGACGGGGAGGTGTGTGTGTCCACCACCCGACCCGAGACCATGCTGGGAGACGTGGCTGTTGCCGTTCACCCCGACGACCCTCGATATCAGGCCAGTCTCAGTGTTTGATGGAGCTCTAATGAAGATCCAATGTGCTTTTGTAGAACAGGATCAGTGATATGGATTTTCAGGGTCCAGTTTTTTCTGATATGTGAAACTTTTACTAAAGTTTAACTTCTCAAGAGGCTCCACGTTCCTCCCTTTCGTTCAGGCGGCTGCTCTTCTGATATAACTGTAGACTAAAATCTCGACTTTAATCTCATAATCTCAATCTTTCCCCTTTAATGTGGCCCTAACACTCTTTCATATGTCTCCAGTTTTTGTGTAAACATCGACCACGTTGGAGGGTATATAAACTACTATAATGCAGAGCTGAAACAAAGAGAAACAGAGACCTTTAAATGACGCTCCTGAGTGTTTGAGTGAAAAAGGCTCAGATGTGAGCTGTAGATCCCAAAATGATCCAGCATGACTTTAGTTTGTGTTTGTTTCAGGCTCATCATGGGAAACAGCTCAGACACCCGTTCACTGACAGGCTGCTGCCCGTCATCACTGACCGCACAGTGGACATGCAGCTGGGAACAGGTGAGAGTAACACACACCTGCCTCATTACAAACTGCTCCTGCACATGCTCAGTGAATGTCATTTCACCTGTCTGTGTGTGTGTGTGTGTGTGTGTGTGTGTGTGTGTGTGTGAATGTGTGTGTTCTCTGTGTGTGTGCTTCAGGTGCGGTGAAGGTGACTCCGGCTCACGACCACGCTGACTTCCTGCTGTCTCAGAGACACTCGTTGCCTCGCCTCACTGTGATCTCAGGAGATGGGACCATGTCTTCCCCCTGTGGACACTGGCTGCAGGTGCACGCTCTTTAAACTGCTTTGAAGTGTGTGGTTGTGTTAGAGGACAGGAGCTGACGGTTTGGGATGTGATGATTTGTGTTTGTTTAAAGGGAGTGAAGCGTTTTGATGCCAGACAGCAGGTGGTCGACGCTTTGATGGAGAGGAAGCTGTTCAGAGGGAAGAAGAGCCACGCCATGACTTTACCTGTCTGCAGGTACACACATACACACACACACAACGATTTCAACAATGCACTCCTGAAAATGTTTAGAAAAATGTCAGGACGACTACCTACCTGACTTGTTTCACACATGCATCCCACAGCAGCAGACTCTCCCTGTCAGACGGGAGGGGTATGACGTATAAAGAACGCCACTTTTATGTGTGCATATGAACAGAAGACATAATGCAGCAGTTTCTTCACATGCACAGAGATTGCACCGGTCGGCTGCATGAAGTCTGGTCGTGTGTCTGTCGCAGGATATCAAACCCATCACAATCTACTCACTCACACCATGAAATTTCCTGAATATTTCCTGCTGCGTTAACTAAGGGGGCTGGCAGGAAAAATCCCGGGTAAAGTCAGAGTGAAAAATCAGGCTGTTTGCATTCACACATGCAGCTAAACCCTAAAATTTCAGGAGTTTTATGTATGTGTGAAAGCACCAAAATAGTTAGTCATAGTATAAATGTGCATAACCAGTTTTAATACTTACTGTGTGCAAAAACTTTCACAATAAATTTCCAGCAGTGCTCGTTATAGCTTCCTTTATCCCGACACATGAAAACAGTCTTTCCTGTCCAGACTTAACTAGGCTTTATTTTGTCCTTAAGGGGCACTGGGTAGCCAAGCAGTTAAGTCACAATCCCTGCCAACAGAGGCTAAAGTCCTCATCTCACTGACCCCGGCCCTCTGCTGCATGTCATCCCTCGCTCTCTCCTCCCAACGTTTCCCGTCTCTCTTCAGCTGTCCCGTCAAATGAAGGGTTAAAAAAGTTGATTTATGTCCTTAAATGTTGATTTAGTTCCCTCCTCCCCTCTGCTCCTCAGCCGCTCAGGAGACGTCATCGAACCTCTGCTGAAGAAGCAGTGGTTCGTCCGCTGTGAACAAATGGCTCAGAAAGCCGTTCAGGTGAGCAGCAGGTGATCAAACTTGATGTATTTAAGGTTGAAATGTTCGGATGGTGACGTTTGTTTCTGTGTCAGGCGGTGGAGGAGGGCGAGCTGGAGATCATCCCTCACTCATACGACAAGACGTGGAAGAGCTGGCTGTCCAACATCAGGTATGTTCCTCACCTGGGACGTTGCACATCACAGCAGGAGAGGAAGAGGAGGAGGGGGAGGAGTGTTCAGTTAAGTCCCCTTGAAGTCGGGGTGTTTGTTCACCTGCAGCTCACCTGCATACATCAGGACGTGTCAAGGAGTTCTGTGTGTGTGTGTGTGTGTGTGTGTGTGTGTGTGTGTGTGTGTGTGTGTGTGTGTGTGTGTGTGTGTGTGTGTGTGTGTGTGTGTGTGTGTGTGTGTGTGTGTGTGTGTGTGTGTGTGTGTGTGTGTGTGTGTGTGTGTGTGTGTGTGTGTGTGTGTGTGTGAAACGAGCTTTAGACTGTTAGCAGGGGAGTGAGGATGAACAATGCCCCTGCTGTGTTTCTGATGTGACATGTGAGTGAAATGACAGCAGCCTGATGATGAATGAGCTGCTGTGTGATCAAACAATGTCCGTGTGTTTACAGTGATTGGTGCGTTTCCCGCCAGCTCTGGTGGGGTCATCAGATCCCGGCGTACAGAGTGCAGCTTCCTGATTCTACCGACACTCAGCAGGTTAGATCTGTAGATATGTAAATCTACGTCAACACTGTATCGATCTCTACGCACAGAATCTGGAAAAACGAAAAGTGTGTGACTTTGCGTGTGTGTTTCCAGGAGGAGTTGTGGGTTTGTGGACGCAGTGAGGACGAGGCTCGGCAGAGAGCGGCTGTTAAATACGGAGTCAAACAGGAAGACGTCGCTTTGACTCAGGGTGACTCACCTTTATCTTGCCTGTTCGCTTCCTGCTGTGTCCGATAATGAAACACAAAGAGATGTGCAGAGATACAGAAAGAGAGAGAGAGATTAAAGGGACGGCGTCTCGCTTGCTCTCTCTCTTTTTCTCGCGGCAGGAGTTTTGCAATTTCATGTGATAGACACAAGTTATTACCGGGAGCGCAGATAGCCTAGCGGTTATGTTGTGTTCCCCATGACTACAGTCCTTGTCGCCGCAGTCATGGGTTAGATTCCGACCACGCCCCTTTGCTGCATGTCATCCCCCCCCCCCCCCCCCCTCTCTCTCTCTCCTCCCAAAGTTTCCTCTTCTCTCTGCAGCTTTCCTATCCAATAAAGGCAAAAAAGAAATTACCCAATTTGGGAAACTAAGACTTCTATTTCTGTTCTGATATCAACACAGATATTGATATTGTTTGTTTTTTACTAGAAACGTATGCTTTGACTGTGTCGTGAAGCAGCATGTTGTATCTCATTGTTTTCTTGTCTTTTATGTGTTAAATATTTTTGTATTTCTTGATTTACACCTGCACGCTCTCTCTCTCTGTCTCTGCCTCAGACCCGGACGTCCTGGACACCTGGTTCTCCTCGGGGCTGTTCCCCTTAGCCATGCTCGGCTGGCCTGACAAGGTACCGCTCCTCCTCCACAGTGAAGCACAATACAGTTCTGTCTCTGTGTCTTATAACCCCTGCACACCCTGCTCCCCTACAGACCCCTGACCTCCAGCGCTTCTACCCCAACTCCATCCTGGAGACAGGAAGTGACCTCGTCTTCTTCTGGGTGGCGAGGATGGTGATGCTGGGCGCCGAGCTGACGGGACAGCTTCCCTTCAGACAGGTGCGTTTCGTTCGGTTAGTGCCAGGAGTGCATGTGTGAACACGACTACATTTGTTTGATTCTGATCTTTGTTCCCGTGATGCATCAGGTCCTCCTTCACTCCATGGTGAGAGACAAGCACGGCAGGAAGATGAGTAAATCTCTGGGAAACGTCATCGACCCGTTAGATGTCATTCATGGAGTCTCTCTGGAGGTACGGCGCTCCTGTTCATCGTTTGTTCTCCATCTCTGAAGATCAGGCCTGAGTGTGATGATGCTCTTCTTCTTCTATTTCTCCGTCTTGATCTTAGTCTTCTTCCTCTTCCTCTCCTGTCTCTTCACCTTTTCTTAATTCCCCTCCTACAGTACTTAATATTCTCCTCATGTTCCTTCTTCTTCTCCCACTTCTTTTCCATCTGTTGATTTTCCTCTTCTTCCACCTCCTTTTTCTTCAGTCTTTTTGGTTGCTTCTTCTTCACCAAATTATCCATCCTTGTTGTGTTTGTTCCCCTCCTGAAACTTCTTCTTCTTCTTCTTCTTCTTCTCTCCCCTGGTTTTGCTTTCCTTCTTTTTTTTCATCTTCTTCTCATTCATATGCTCCAACTCTCTTTCCTATCTTCTTTTACCCCTTCTCCTACTTCTCCATCTTCTCCGCCTTCTTTTCCTTCTTTCACTTTTAATTCTCCTTCTCCCCTTCTTCATTTTCCTAAAATCTCTCCTTTTCTCTGTTTTACATTATTTTTCCTTCTCTTTCTCCCTCTTCTTCTACTCCATCTCGTTCTTCGAATCCCTCACCTTCTCTTCCACTTCCATCATCTTATCTTCTTCTTCTTCTCCTACTCCCACTCCTTATCCTGTGCCATCGCCTTCTTCATTTTATTTTTTCATTTTCTTCTTAATCCTCTTCTTACTGTCCTGCTCCTTCTTCTTCTCTCCCCCTCTTCTGCTCTATTTTCTTTTCTTTCTTCCACTTCTTCTTTTCCTTCCACTTCTACTCTTTCCTCCTTATCTTTTTCTTCTTCTCCCCCCTCTCAATTTTCTCCTCCTTTGTCCTCATCTTTTATCATCTTTGTCGTCTTCTTTCAGAGACTTGAAGAAAAGATAAACGAGGGGAACCTGGACCCCAGGGAGCGGTTGGTTGCCATGGAGGCACAGGTGAGGTCCCCTCTCTCTCTCTCTCTCTCTCTCTCTCTCTCTCTCTCTCTCGGTCAGACTGAGCGTGCTCACTGCTCTCTCCCCTCTCTGTCCCACCACAGAGGAGGGACTTCCCCGGGGGGATCCCTCAGTGTGGGACCGACGCTCTGAGGTTCGCTCTGTGCTCTTACAGGATGCAAGGTGAGTGACTGATCGCTTTACCTGAGGAGGAGGAAGAAGAGGGAGGAGTTTGTGGAGCTGTGAATGCAGGAACTTTGTGAAAATGTAGTGAGGCTAAACCACTCACCTTCTGTGTGTCTGTCACCCCCTCCTCCTCCTCCTCCTCCTCCTCCTCCTCCTCCTCCTCCCTCTCAGGTGAAGCCATCAGCCTGTCGGTGTCTCAGGTGCTGAGCTGCAGACATTTCTGTAACAAGATGTGGCAGACTCTGAGGTTCACACTGGGAGTGCTGGAGAACAACACAACACCAGTGGGAACACTGGAGGAGGTACAACCAGCTGGACTCGAGTTTGTTCTGTTCATGTCGTTTAAAAAAGGAACTTAAATTAAGAACGACAGCTGAACTCAAGCTCCAATTTGACGAGTATAGTTTATATCATGGCTTTAAACCTGAATGTTTTCTTGTTGTCCTCTCAGACGTCTCCTGTGAGCAGCGTGGACCGGTGGATCTGCTCACGGCTCTACAGCACCGTGCTGCAGGTGGAGCAGGCGTTTGAAGCGTACGAGCTGCACACGGTCACGTCTGCGCTGCACTCCTTCTGGCTCCACAGCCTGTGTGACGTCTACATGGTGAGGAGGAGGAGGAGGAGGAGGAGGACCAGACTGCCACAAAGCATTATGGGAGCATGTTACTATGTTTAAAATAAACTGACAGAGTCGTGCTTTCCGTCCCTCAGGAGTGTGTGAAGCCTCTGCTGGCTCAGCAGGGTGGGGGGAGTCAGGGGGAGGACAGGGTGAGGGCGAAGCAGGCGGCGGTCAGCGTCCTGTATCACTGTGTGTCCTCCTCTCTGGCCTTGCTGTCCCCCTTCATGCCCTTCATCACCGAGGAGCTGTGGCAGAGACTGCAGCCGTTCAGGGGCGGAGCTTCAGCTCAGAGCAGCCTGAGTCTGCAGACGTACCCCCGATCAGAGCAGCTGGTAGGCCACCTCCACATACCCCCCCCCCCCCCTCTCAAGACACACATGAAGCATGAATGACCTGCGTTCACACAAACGCTCACCCTGAAGTCATGTTAAAATGTACAAGGGGCGAGCCAGGAAAAGTCTGTGTTAAGTCGGAGTCTGTTTGCATGCAGACAAGCAGCTCACCCTGAACATATCAGGATGTTTTTCAGTCTGTGCTGAATATTTCAAAGTGTGAGTTTAGGCATAAAATGTGTCTTTCCCTTCCTGAGCTGTTCATGACCTGAACATGTTTGGATTTCTCTCTTTATTATTGGACCTTTAGATTTCACGACACACACTTGGACTAGAAATGATGAACTGGCTGCTTTACAGGCAAAACAAGACGATTTAATGAAACGATTTTACTCTGCTAGTTTGCTCCTGTAGTCATTGCACATACAGTATCTTGTAGTTAGTAAAGGCTTCTGTTGTTTTAGTCAGTGTTTTCATCTCCCCATGTGTTTCTGCTGACGTGTGTTTTCCTGTGTGACCTCTCGTCCTGTCAGGCTCACTGGGTTTTCCCTGAAGAGGAAAGGGATTTCATGATGGTGCAGGAAGTGATCAGAGAGGCGCGTTCACTGCGAGCACAGTGTGGACTGACCAAAGAGAAACCAGACAGTGAGTCAGAAACACAACAGACCAAACAGAAATGAACCTCAGCTCACAAATACACACGAACAACACACTCTGTAAAAACTTAACACTGAGAGACGTGAACACAGCTCTCTGTTTTATTTAAAGAGTTGAAAGAAATATACGAATAAATGCATGGATAAGGTAGCATGTTTGATTCCATGCTGTGTGTGTGTGTGTGTGTGTGTGTGTGTGTGTGTGTGTGTGTGTGTGTGTGTGTGTGTGTGTGTGTGTGTGTGTGTGTGTGTGTGTGTGTGTGTGTGTGTGTGTGTGTGTGTGTGTGTGTGTGTGTGTGTGTGTGTGTGTGTGTGTGTGTGTGTGTGTGTGTGTCTCAGTGTGGGCTGTGTGTTCACCCAGCCAGGCTCAGGTCCTCCTCCACTTTGAGTCAGCTGTTCAGACTTTGAGCCGGATCTCCAGCCTCCATATTTACTGTCCTGGTTACACAGATGACCCCTCCCTCTCCGCCAGCGCCGCCCCCCCACCTGCAGGCAGCCTGGTCGGCGTGGTGGACCACACCTGTCAGCTACACCTGCATGTCCAGGTGAGGAACTGAAACCACTCTAATAAGTCGGAATGTGTTGAAGCTATCCGGTGACAGTGTTACAATGGAGCCTCAAAATTCAAAGCGTGATTGTAACTTCAGACAGCAGAAGAATTGTCCTGACACCAGAATTCAAACTTTGATTTGATACAAGTAAAAACAATTCAGACCAAATACAAACTGGAGTATTCATCATCCACATCAGTGTGTTGTTCGTTGTTGTAAGCTTCATGCTGGTGATGCCGATCCTGTTTCAATCTCAGTGTTTCCTGTTTTTGTCTCTCAGAGTGGAGTGAACATTGACAAACAGACGCTGCAGCTCTCTCAGCGCAGAGACAAACTCATCCTGAAGCTGGAGGAGATCCTGAACAGAGTCCGGTCTCCAGACTACCAGACCAAAGTCCCCGCTCACGTCAGACTGCTGATGCAGACGAAGGTGAGTGCAGAGAGGTGTTCTGAGTTACTTACAACAATGTACTCTATGTAGGGAAAGAAAAGAATAAAAAATAATGTATTCTTTGTGTTAAAGATGCATTCACAGAGCTGCATTTTTGTCTGTACTTCAAGCCACTCTTCATTATTTTGTTTAAACGTGGACGTGATGGATGTCTTTAACTCTCTGTGCTCGTGTGTTCAGGTGTCGGCCCTGCAGCAGGAGTTGAAGACGTTAGAGGAGCAGCTCAGAGTCCTGCAGGAGACGCAGAGAACAAAAAACCGCAGCTGATTGATGTTCCAGTCTCTGTGAGAACTGCTGGACATCACATGAGTTATTCATACTGTTATCCGAGCTGCGGGTCTCCACACTGCTTCGAGGAAGGAGACATTGTACAATATGATCATAAATAATAACGTTAGAAGAAAGCTGTCAAACTGTCATACTGCAGTAGACACCTGTAGGGGAGGCTGCGGAGGTCTGCAGGTATCCATGGACGCGGACTACAGACGTCATGATGGGAGTTTGTTCTCTTTAACAGAAAGCATCTGTGGAGGCTGCTGAGAGTGCCATCCGTTGTGTTTACAGTCCTTCATATCCATGTTGTTCATGTCTTTAAATCTGTTGTTGGGAAAACAGAATCAGGGCTCATCATATCGGACTGATAAACTGTAAATATAGTCCTGGTTATGTGGAGAAAAATCCTCTGTGTGTTTCTGTTGTTTCCTGAACATGACTGTGTGAACACGGAGCGTCAACATGGAACCAAATCATCATTATTCATTATTTTCTAAGGTGATTAAAGACAACGGTGGGTCATATTCAGACAGAGTATTTATAATAAGAGAAACAAACTGGTATTGATATTGTTCTCGTTATAACGAGATCTTTATTTCATGATAATGAGATATTTTTCTCAATATCACAAGAAAGCAGGCAAAAAAAAAAAGTGCTCAGGAATATTCCATAAGTGCAAAGTCAGACAGGAGAGGAGTCTGCAAAAATGTAAACAAAAGGCAAGAAAAAAAGTAAATGAAGAATTAACTTTGAAACAACAGGTCTGAAAAGGTTGTTAAAGTAAAAGCAATTCAATGAAAGGCGAATGAAAGAATAAAAGCAGTAAAAAAAAATAAGATTAAAGATAATAAAATGATTATAATACGACATCACATCACAGAAATTAAAAACAAAATAAAGGTTAAAAAACAGATGCATAAAAGATACATTAGTAGGAAACTAAAATAGAGAATGACGTCAGAAGAAGGGCTTGTGATAAAAAGATTAAAAGCAATAATATGAATAAAGGAAAATATAAAAATGATTGAAAGATGACGTTACATTAAAAGCGAGTCTGTAAAAGTGAATATAAAATAAGTTACTGATTTTATCCGACATTTAAATGCATTTATTACAAAATGATTGGTATAAATATTTAACTGTACAGATTTGTCTATATTTTTATGAAGGTTTATGAAATCAATCAATCAATCAATCAAACTTTATTTATATAGCACCTTTCAGACAAATTAAATTGCAGTTCAAAGTGCTTAACAAGAGTGCAGAAAAGTTATTGACGAAAAGTAGTTTATAAAATCATTAATAAAATCATTGAGAGACCAATAAGAATTAAAACAAAAATGTATGTATAAAAATAAAATACAATAAAATACGACACATAAAAGCAACAAGATATTAAAATAAATACATAAGAGGAAAATATTAAAAATTGTAGTAGGATAAAAAGACAATACAGTAATGTTAAGATTTGAATAGATATAAAACACTATATAAAAGCCAGACTGAATAAATGAGTTTTAAGACTGCGTTTAAAAATCTCGATGTTCTTTTATATATAAATATAAACGTGTTGGGGGTCAGCTGGGTCATGATTATCGATGAGATAATCCGGAAGTGAATTTTGAGTGTGGTGTAATGAAACATCTCGTCATCCTAAGCAGAGAAGGGCAGGCAGCCTGTGAGTGTGGAGAACCTGGACCCGGCGGGGGAGGAGCAGAGCAGAGGGTCGCTGTGGAGACCGGAGCCGGCGGGCACACACACACACACACACACACACACACACACACACACACACACACACATACACACACACACAGAGAGACCCGTTAGCGGAGCAGACTCTGAACGTTAGCCCGCTTTCAGTAGCTGCTTCTGGGGCTTGGTAAAGAGAAGACACCGGGGGGGGGGTGAAGGGGGAGCAAGAGGCGGATGGTCTGCCCGCACAGGAGCTTCTGAGCGCGGACACGGAGATGTGCTGTGAATGTGACACTGAAGGAAACACAGGGTGGCTCGAATAGCTAACCTTAGCCTGCCTGCTAGGTAGCTGGCTGCAGCCTGGTGTATGAGTCTCCTCCTCCTGAGGATGAAGCCGCGCGGAGACGTTCACGACCCGGTGTGAGAGGTGAGTGTGACCCGCTGCAGCTGCTCCAGCTCCGGCTAGAAACATGAATGAAAACAGCCTTCATTCGGAGTTTTGGTCAGCCTGCTAAGCTAACAACAGGTCAGCTGTTAGCTTAGCTTGTTATCTTAAATGCTCATAAATCACCTTAAAGATGATGACTGATCACTGACTGTGATTTAGAGCTGTGGTACCACAAATTAAAACTTCAAAACGATTCAGCGGTGTCGTTACCACGGCAACAAGCATAGTAGTCCTAGGCAACCGACATTCGGAAACTTGAATCAAAAATTGCATGTTAATGTCTGGCATCTTTCTAAATTACACAAGTTAAGAAGTTTGCTTGCAGTTTTTGATTCACTCCACCACGCCTGTCCAGTAGTTTTATTAAAGTTTCATCACTTTGCTTTCATTCATTAAAATAACTAAGAATGTATAATTAAAAAAAAAAACATGTGGGATCGAAGAGTGTTGTATCATGTTTGTTATTTCCTAAAAGCCTAACCAGGGAAAAAGACTGCTGGCCGTGGCTAGAAGTGCTATCTACACATTGCATCGGTTGCACTTTAAAGGTCCAATCAGTAAGATGTGTAGTGACTGAAATGATAAAGTGATCTTACTATATGATCACACATTAAGGAAACATGTTATGTTGAAGTGCTGGCTTCTCTGACAACAATGCAGCAGCCAGTATGTCCTCCTTCTAACTTTAGATTCTGCTCCTGAATGCTCTGGATTTGTTTGGACCAGAGAAGGTAGGCGGTTTAAAGGCCCCCCCACATGGCCGTTTTGGACGCCCCTCGGTTTGTCAGATATGAGAGCAGTTATCAGGTCAACAGGTGTTGCAGCGATGGAAGCGGGCAAGAGAAGTGGTTCAGATAGAAGTGATTGTACCTGACCTAAAAAGCCTCTGCATGTTTCTAATAAGCGCCACGAGCAGAAACGTGCTCAAACTAGGATCAAGATTGGAAATGCTTTTGAAAAATGCATCTCCATCGTCAGCACAACCTCCAGTGATGTCAAAGTGAATTTAAGAGTAAACAGTTTGTAATGTTAGCACACTGCGCTAAGGTTAGAACACAGAAAGGTTTACAGAGCGATGCAGAGCTGGATAAACACTGAAGCTTCAGTGACCACCACATGGCAACCTGCATGAGCATCCACTCTGTCGGGCTCCGAAAATGTATGGAGGATGATAAACGTCGTCAGCTGGCTGTCCTCGTGTGTTATGTTTTTCAGTGAAAAACAGGAAAAACAAAACGCATGAAATCCTTGATGAGAAGACAGATTATGTGCGGCTTGATATGATTTGCAGAGCGAGCTGAGGGTGAGAAATATCAAACAAAATGCTGATGCGGGATGCTCCGACTGGATGAGGAGCAGTAGAATAATCGTAGTGACACCACACACTTGAGGATTGTTTGGACAAATAATTTGTTGCCACAAGCTGCAAATCGGACCAGGCTGGTTGTTGAAGGGGCGTAGCGAGCTACAGGTGTAGAAAACTTTGGTGACTTTGCCAGATCAGCCAGGAAGATCAGGGTGGCTGGAAATGTTGCTGCGAGGCTCGTCTGAGGACGACAAAATGAGGAATTGTTATATAACGTTTTGTTTTTTTAAATTTAAGAAATGATGGTGCTAGGACTTCTATTTTTGTTGCTTTGGTATCTAAACAGGTTTCTATATAATTTGATATTTACTGGTATCCTATTGAAGTTTAATATTCTGTTACCATGACTACCCTTGTCTGTAACAGCTGGGATTCATCCAAACACAACAAACAGCTGCTCTGCTGCTGTCAGCACAACCTCCAGTGATGTCAAAGTGAATTTAAGAGTAAACAGTTTGTAATGTTAGCACACTGCGCAAATACTCGGAGCCTCTCCACGGTTCAGTCATATGATCCATCAGCCGGATGGTCCTCCGTCTATTGTTTGTGGTGTCTGATCCTACCAGCCTGCTCCACGTGTCTGACAGACTGGTTGAGGGAGGGGGGTTAAGAGAGAGTTTCAGCTGGGACTCTCCCCTCCCTCTGTCCCTCCCCCTCCTCCTCCTCTCACTGTGGGATCCTCTCCTCTGCCCAGCTTAACTTTACTTCTCACGGAGCAGAGAGAGAGGACAGATCTGTAGGCAGCTCACAGCTCAGGTAACGTTTCTTTAATTCGTCTCCAGGCCTCTGCTTCGTGTATTTCTCTCACATTCATGCACCATCTCTGATTTTATTTAATAATCTGTTGCATAAAGATTTAGTTTTAGAGATTGAAAATACTAGTTAATACCTGTAAAAACCCAATTTACACACAATATTTATAATGACATTTTGTTTGTTAAGTAACCTGATTCTAATCAGTCAGTGGATTACAGTTAAGGAGAATTAGACCTCTTGTCAGGGTTCATTAAGGGTGGGCTGGAAAAACCTTGAGGTGGGCAACCTTGGCCCTACATAGCCCCGAGGTACAGATCTGGACTAGAGTTTCACAACAGTACAGGGTTCATTCAAACACAGTGAGGAACACTCATAAAAGTCAGGTTTATTTATACAGCACATTTCAAATGACAAGCAGAGACTCGATGTGCTTTAGAAAAAAAAAAAGAGGGTGAAGGTTTCCTCCCGCCGGATATTTCATCCATCTAACATTTACTTCAATGCAATCTGGAAAAAATGTAAAACTATGTCAAAGGAAAACACAAAACTATGAATCGGTACAACTATACAATCAATGTTTCTTCCTGAATGAAGCTTGTGTTGTTGCACGACTGAATACGTTACTTTTGACGTCGTCTTTTTAGTCAGCTAAAAGTCTCATGAGAGAATTCTGTTTTCTGCTGTAACAAGTGTTGTAGTCCTCATAATCGTACTTGGTCTCCAGACCACTTATTAAAGGTTTTGGTCTCGTTTTGGAATCAAAAGCATTTTTACTCGGTCTTGACTCGGTCTCCATTAACTCAGATTTTAAATCAAGACCGGTCGAGACCACCAATGATCGGCCCCGAGCCACTCTGGGAGCTCCTGAGCTCTCTCCTCAGGATCGTTTTTGGATTGCCTGCCTGAAGGATGTCCCTATCCTTCTTCATGCATCTTATCCCATCTTCCCATTTTCAAACCCGGCGTAGTTTAAGTAGATGGCTGTTCGTCATGAGCCTGGATTTCCCCAAGATTTCTGCCTCATAAAACAACAACATTCATTCCTGCTTTTCCTAAGATTGATTGATTGAAAACAGCCAAACATGAAGAGAGATTTTACCACAACAAGCAGACATGTTTTATGATGCAAATAAAAAGTTTCAATTTAAAATGACTTAATTTTCAGTTGATACACTGTTGAACTGAACGCCCTTCTCAGTAAACTCTGTAACTGTTTGAATACCCTGGAAACTCTGACTGCATCGTAACAAACTCTACCTCTATCTTTCTCTCTCCCTGCCTTAAGTGTCAGGCTTTGTAGCACTGATTTGACCCTTTTATAATCAGCATGTTTGACTACAAAGCCCCCTGTGGTGTGTCTCGTAGTAACGTGTTGAAGTGTGAATTTTACAGTACATGGAGATTAACCGGTGTGAACTGTTAACAAGCTGCAGGTGTCAGCTAATCACTGATCACACCGTTTGTTCCTCAGCTTCGTCTGTCTTTAAAGGATTATTCAGGTCTATATTTATCAGCACTAACAGGTTTATGCTTCACTAATGCTTGGGAGGAGGGGGAGGAGGAGGAGGAGGAGGAGGAGGAGGAGGAGGAGGAGGAGGAGAAGGAGAAGGAGAAGGAGAAGGAGAAGGAGGAGGAGGAGGAGGAGGAGGAGAAGGAGAAGGAAAAGGAGGGGGAGGAGGAGGAGAAGGAGAAGGAGAAGGAGGAGGAGGAGAAGGAGAAGGAAAAGGAGGGGGAGGAGGAGGAGGAGAAGGAGAAGGAGGAGGAGGAGGAGGAAAAGGAAAAGGAGGGGGAGGAGGAGAAGGAGGAGGAGAAGGAGGAGAAGGAGGAGGAAGCACCTCCTTCATCCTGTCATTAGAACATCAGAGAGAATCTTCACACTGTGTACACACTGAGCTTTATTTGATTTGTGTGTGTGTTTTGTGTGTGTGTGTGTGTGTGTGTGTTTGCATTACACGGTGTGTTCTGCAGCCTGTTTGTCCTGATGAGTTGGACTTTAAACAGAAGCACATAATGTGCGGCTGTGGCTCTGTGGTAGAGTCGGTCGTCTCTCAACTGGAAGGTCGAGGGTTTAATCCCCAGCTCCTGCAGCAACATTTAATTGCCTGAAAACTCCTGTTCACTGGCTACAGGGCAGGTTTCTGATACGTTGCCAACTTATTTGTGCAATTTAAAACATGTGCAGGAGTTAGCCCGCAACCTTTTGATGGATTCCTTCCTCTCCTACACTCCTGTCTAACACTTTGTCCCTTTTTCAATCCTATCGATTATTAAGATATTAGAGCTTGGGAGCGATGATAGCCTAGTGGTTAAGTCACGTGCCCCATCATGTACAGAGGCTTTTAGTCTTCGTTGCAGTGGATGTGGGTTCGAATCCGACCTCAGCCCTTTGCTGCAAGTCATCCACCACTCTCAACCATTATCAATCATTAATTGTACATCGCCAATTCATAACAGATATCTTGCGACACTTTACAAAAAGCAGGTAAAAGACCAAACTATAAGAATAGGATAGGGGGAGATGGGATAAGATGCAGGGGAGGATTTCTCGGTTACTGTGGTCCACACTTCCTCGTCGCTGAGGTGGAGGTCGGAGCAGGGGACGACACAGTCCGATGGTGGTGGCTGAGCGTCAGGGACGTCTGGTGGTAGGAGTGCCCGATCACCTCGCTGAAGGTTAGGGCCTGCTCTCTCGTCCCAACATTTCCTATCTCTCAAAAAGGCTAAAAAAAACACTTAAATATATATGATTGTATCCTTTTATATCGCATACAGGTTAAGGTGCATGTGTGAACAACTGACTCTGGACGATTTCAGGGGCAGTCTAGCTGAAATGTTCAGGAGTGCTTGTGGTAACACAGCTTGAATGACGTGTTTCAGCTGGTGGACAATGTACCACAGTCAGTTATGATTAGATAAATGACTAAGATCTGTGTGTTAATGCTCAGCTTGCTGGTTCTGGTTCTGGTTTCCTGCTCCGATCAACACGTCTCTGCAGTTTGAGGCTCCTCTCTACTTCCTGCTTCTTTTACAACCACATCTGTTTGTCCTAATTTGGTCATCTGGATTCTGTGTACTGCTGAGTAATCCCACATATTTACTGAGTTATAGCCCCGCTCTCACAGTCTCCTCAGAAGAACAATGGTACCTACAGTAAATAAGAGTCAGTGATGTAGTCCTGGTTCTGTACCAGATCACCTTTTCCGTCCACGTTGCTGCTGGGCAGGAAAAAAGAGAGAGAGAGAGCGAGCAGTAATCTCCTGTGGTTGGTTTAGAGGAGAAACGTGAATCATATCCACCGAATGCTGTTTTGTTCTTCTTTAGTAATAAAAGGCTCGTGTTTGTGAGCCACTAACTGAACCTGACTCAGAGATAAAGAGTCCCCGGGGACGTCTGATCCTCACTCTCCTCTCGTTCATCCCTCATTCTCAGAAAGAACTGAACCCTCCAGAGTCAGTCTCATAAAGTAAAGGGGGTTTTACATGTTTGGGATTTGGAAATTTTCACAAATTAAACTCAGTTCAAACTGGACAGCAGTGAAGAGCTGAGCTCTGTTGTCCTTCTGATTCTGGTTGAAATTGTCTTTAGGTCCTGACAGAAATCAATAACTCATGTTCTCTGAAAAAGGAACGAAGAAAATCCGTAAACTGTAGCAGTTGTAAGCCTGTAAAAACTTAGACCAATGTCTGCCACGAGGTACCAAACTGATGAACCAATCACACGCCTCCCTGTCTCACTGCTCGCTCTATACTTCTTGACTTGCGTGCACTAGCCCTCACTCAAAGCATGAGCTGAGGTCCGCTTCTGGACCAACGGCAGTCATGCATGTAAGTTAGGGGCGTGGCTTTTGAGGGAGCACAGGGGGGGGGGGGGGTGGGTGCAGACGGAGCACTGAGGGAATGCTACTTTCAAAATCATGCTAGTTTTCCAAAATGAACAACCCTGCCTTTAATGAATGAGATGTTCTCGCATGCTTAGACACTGTTATGATTAAGCAGAGAACTGTTGGCTCAGTTTTGGGGTCAAGGTTCAGTATGAATCTGGATTCAAAGATGCTGCTTTTTGGTTTAATTTGATTCTCATTGCTGATGTTTTGGTTGATATAACGTTAAGTTACAGGACACACGAGACTGGATGGCAGTATCCATAATTTCAGACTTAATGGATTTTTGGGGGTCTGAACGGAGCAGGGTCTCGTCTCGATCCCCGTCCTTAGTTACAGACATGAATGTTTTCATGATTCTGTGTCGAGGTTCCTTTGGTTCCCAGCTCGAGTTTGTCCTTTCAGTCTGATGGATTTCGATCGTTTTGCTGATGTAAACATGTCAGATGTGACATCACCGTGACGTTGTTACGGGCACGACTACTTTCATTCTCACTTTAACATTCAGTTAATTTCTGAAGGCAGTTTCTTTTCTGCTTCATCATGTTGATCATTTGTTTTCTTGCTCTGTTTTCAGGATCGTGTCTGAAGGATAACGTCCACAGTGAGACATCTCCAGAACTCAACTGTCTTCTTCTACTGTCATCTGCACGTCTCCGTCCTCCTCCTCCTGCAGATCTTGGGAGTCTTCGCTCGGTGTGATTTCTTTGACTGCATGCGTTCCTCATCAGGATCATGTAAATTCATTAAAGAGGGGATAATTATCCTCCTGACAGCCTCCTGACCAAAGACGGGATGACTCTCTGTTTGAAATCATAACAATGTGACAGAGTCCCCGCGTGTCCGAGTATCTGTTGGATCCTCACTCTGCCTCCTTCACTTGTTCCCTTCCTAGCAGCCTTTCCTCCCCTCCCTCCCCTCCTGTCATTGGGCCATGGTTCGTAAGAAAGGCTCTCTGATACTATGCGGCGGTTTCCTGTTTGTCGCCTGGAATGCTCTTCTTCTTCTCTATCTGTGGGGTCGCCCTCCCAGCGGCCGGCTTGGGGAGGGCGGCGGAGCTGAACCAGGAGGGAAGGAGGAGTGGGGGGTGGGTAGAGGAGGTCAGGTCAACCTGGCGGGGGAAGTCATCCGTCTGGCGGAGGAGGTGGAAGTTCAGCTGGAGACGCAGAAAAAGCTGCTGAAGCAGATCGAGGGTCACAGGGCGGTGTGGGCGCGGCAGAGAGACGTCGGGAAGAGAGAGTCGAAGGTTAAAAAAGAAGGTAAAGAGGAGGTGGTCAAGCAGGAGCGGAAACCTCCTCCTCCTCCTCCTCCTTCTCCTGTCAAAGAAGACACAGAGGTCAAGGACCAAACAGATGTGAAACAAACACAGAAACCTGCAGCTACAGAAGCTTTGAACTCTAAGTCCGAGCAGCAGCAGCAGCAGGCAGCAGCCATCAAGCAGGAGATCAAGACCGATACATTTTACACTTCTGGCCCCGAGGTCGTAATTCCTATTCTGGTCATCGCCTGCGACAGAGTGACGGTGAAACGCAGCCTCGACAAACTCATACAGTACCGCCCCTCCCCACAACTTTTTCCAATCATCGTCAGCCAGGACTGTGGCCACGCCGAGACTGCTCGCGTCATCGGCTCGTATGGAGAACAGGTGACGCACATCAGGCAGCCAGACCTCTCTGACATCAGAGTCCGGCCGGAGCACCGGAAGTTCCAGGGATACTACAAGATCGCCCGCCACTACCGCTGGGCGCTCAACCAGATTTTCAACATGTTGTCACACTCAAGCGTGGTCATCGTGGAGGACGACCTGGAGGTGAGTGCTGTCCAAACTTTTACCCACTCTCTCCTGGAACCAAGAGACAACAGTGTGCATGCTGAATACATTCACCAAAGGAGGGACAGATCTCTCTCTAAATGAAATGTACAAACACACAATTTAAAAACTAAAGAGACAGCTGAAGAGGATCTTTAGGTTTCCTTAAATGGGACTATTTAAAATCCTGAGCCCCATTTCATACTTGCACACACTTGCACAAAACTCCTGAAGTTTTTGGGGTGAGCTGCAAGTGTGACCACAAACAGCCGGCTCGGACTTCATCCAGAGTTTTCTCTGCAGAAAGTCCGAGTGAGCTGATGTGAGAAGCAGCAGGATGTAATCAGGAGAATTCACCTCGAGTGAGTGGGAGGGGGAGGTGACCTTTATTCCCTGCCATTGGTGCACATCACGACCATAGATTGAATCAGAGGTTGTGCTAGACTTTCTTGTTGTCTGTCATTTTGACGGACAGCATTTCTCCTGAATGAAGGCTGTCAACGTTTGTACCCACGTGCTCGTACTCGTGCATGAACTGTACCGTGCCGAAGCACACCAGCTAGACAACGATGTCATGCACGAGAGGTCAGATGGCCTACAGAACAAAACAATAACTCATTAATTATGCACACTCGCCACCCACTGGACTGGGAGGTGTACTGCAGGTGCTTTACATGTGGTTAAGGACCGTGCTGTGTGAGAATTAGAAATGAGCGGTGGATACCTGGTGATTCTAATCCGTCAAAATGACAGACAGCCTGGGGCGCTGGTGGCGCAGTGGTTAGTGCACTCGGCCATGTATGGGATGACAGACAGCCTTCAGATTTTTCAGTCATTGATGAAAAAAATCCATCAAAGATTGGAGACTGGATTGAATGTGACTAGTTGTGTCTATGAATGACCTCTGCAGACAAAGCTTACCCGGATAGAGGTTACAGAGAGAAACTTAATTTGCCAAACAACTTTGCTGCTTTAATGTTAGAGAGTAAAGTTCAGCAGATATGAAACAATTTCAGATCCCTTTAAGAAGTTTTTAAAAACATGTACTGATAGAAGAATATGTATTTATGAGCTGTATGGTCCTGTGTCTTTGTGGCGTCATCGTTTCATAAAATGGAAATATTTTATTTCCCAAACATTGGTTTGTGAGTCCCACAGGACCCAGACATGTTTGTTAGCTCCGGGTTCTCCGCTGGACTTGGACCCATAAAGTCTGAATTCTGGGGGGGGTTTTAAACTCTCTAGTAATGATGCCCCTGCTGGTCGGCCTGGCTGGTTTGAAGCTCCTGCGGTTAAAGTGTAATTACATGTGGCTTACATTCAGATGTGGGTTAATGATGACTGGAGCTGCTCCCTCTGCTTCCTCAGTCGTCTTAAATATTCTTCACTAAAGAGCAGTTTCCTGTAAACGAGAAGCAGACGCTCAGTCAGAAAAAAACAGATCTTCAGTCATATTTTCAAGGCAAACAGCCATATAAGTGATTATTAAGATGGGATGTTTTAACACAAGTCTATATCCTGTTTTGTGGAGAACTTATTTATCAGACGCTTTATCCAAAGTGACGAACATCAGAGAGTAAGAGCATCAAAGAGTAAGAGCAACACAAGCGAGGATCTAGAGAGGAGGAGACAACATCAGGAAGTGCAAACCAACAGCTTTAAGTCTGATTGGACACACAGGAAGTGACCAGAGGCAGAGCACTACATCAACAGCTGGTCTTGAGAGTTCTAATCAGCATCAAAGCCATCCTAAATATCATCATCATCATCATCATCATCATCATCATTAAGGTTGTAGGTGTTCATAAAGAGCTGGGTCTTTAGCTTTTTCTTAAGGTGCAAAGGGGCTCTGAAGATCAAATGGAGTTTGATAGTTCATTCCACCACCAGGGGGCGACAGAGGAGAAGAGTCCAGTTAGAGTCTTGGGCATGTTGTGAAGGTTGGATCAGACGCTGTTCATTGGCAGAGCGTAGTGAGCGGGAGGGAGTGTAGACCTGTAAAGTGTGCAGATGCTAGGGCTGGGAATCTTTGGCTGTCTCAAGAGTCGATTCAATTTCGATTCTTGGGGTCACAATTCAAATCAAAATCTATTTTTGATTCATATCGATTCATGATTCAAAGTCTATTTTTGAATGAGTACATACTTCATGATCGACTCCAGTCATCTGTGAGACTGGCTGAATGTCTTGCTGCTTCATTTGGTATTTTCCTGAGTTAAAAAGCAAGCATTAGCATTTAGCCCCCCAAAAATCTCAAAAGCTAAGAATCTCGATTTCTACATAAATCTATTTCTTTCCCACCTCTAGTAGATGCAGTTAAAATTGTACAAATATGGTAACTTGTGTAATTTAGACAACATGCATGACTCGATATCCACTGTCTACATTGTCTTGTTGTGGTATTAGTGTCACATTCTGGTATTGTTGCAGCCCCAGCTGCTACTGGACAGTGGGAATGTGGAGGAACTGGTGAAACTGGTAGAAGTGAACATTCAACTGTAAAAAAGTTCCCTTACGCAGCAGGAAACAAGAAGCAGGAAACTCCAAGTAATTTAGACATTAAGCAGCAGCTGGAGGGAGAGAGTGTTCCCTGTAAATCAGCTAATATTTCAGCTGTGAGCAGGAAACAAATCTGGATTTACTTATGCAGCTCTCCCAAACTGGCTTCCCTCTTTTCTTTAACGCTGACGACTCAGAGAGACGAACTCTCCGCTCATCCGAGTCAAACTTTTATGACCAGTCGAGTGAACTCCGCATATTTAGTTTCTGACTTCATGGGAACTTTAGGGGAACATATCTCCTGTTAAATATTAACCATGTAATGAGCAGAATAATCTTCTCCACTCTGGTTTCATCACAACGACGCCGCATGCCAACAGGGTGAGGATGTGATGTGAGCCTGTTGTCTGTCTCTGCTGGTTTCTCCTTTTGCTCTGAGCTCAAACTGGTGTTTTTTTTTTTTTTTGCAAGTTTAACGCCACATAACTGTCCCTGCGCGTTATCTTCGCTCACTGAGTTGAACTGTTGGGGCCTAAAACAACACGTGCAGGATGGAGAGCAGTGAAACGTCCCGCCTGTTTCATATAGCACAGCTTGCAGACCAGCTTCCTGCTTTAACTCTCGCTTCATGTTCACAGATCTCCGTTTTTCTAAAGGTTTATTTTACAGGACAGTGAATGGAGCTGGAAATAAGAGAGAGAGAGAGGAGGGGGGAGGGGGAGGGGGAGGGGGGGGGATGACATGACATGCAGGAAAGGAGCCACAGGTGGGATTTGAACCTGGGCCGTCCACTTGGAGGACTGCAGCTTCCAGTACATGGGACACACTCACTAATCATTAGGTGCCCCCCTACAGATCCCAGTGTGATGTGCTCATCCTGCACCCAGGGGTGTTGACTAATATTCAACCAATGAAAAAGCTCAAAGTCGAAGCTAATGATCCAATCAAACGTTATGTCCCGCCCTCTTTCTAGTGATTGCTTCTTTCCCGTTTATACGACATTACAGTTAGATCCTCTCCAAGTTCTGTTTCATGGGGACTTGAACTGGACCAGAACAAAATCTGTGTGAACTAAAATAAATAAAAACAAAAGAACTACAATAAGAATCAGGAAGTAGACGTAGTGAAGTAGAATCATTTTCTAAAGGCTTCTGTTGGAAGCAGAAAAACATTTTGTCAAAAGTCAAGATTTTTCCACGATTCTTTTGTGAATGTTTGGTGCAGAACCGTCTCACTCTTGTGTGTCTCCCTCCTCCAGGTGGCGCCGGACTTCTTTGAGTATTTCCAGGCCCTGTACCCGATCTTGCGCTCGGACCCGTCCCTGTGGTGTGTTTCCGCGTGGAACGACAACGGCAGAGATGCGTTGGTGGATCCTTCCAAAGCGGAGCTCCTCCACAGGACAGACTTCTTCCCCGGTCTGGGCTGGATGCTGCTGAAGGACATGTGGGACGAACTGGAGCCCAAGTGGCCCTCGGCCTTCTGGGACGACTGGATGCGTCAGCCGGAGCAGCGTAGGGACCGCTCCTGCATCCGTCCTGAGATCTCGCGGACGATCACGTTCGGCCGTAAAGGCGTCAGTCTGGGTCAGTTCTTCGACCAGTACCTGCGCTACATAAAGCTCAACACTGAGTTTGTGCCTTTTACCAAACTGGACCTGTCTTATTTACTCAAAGACAAGTACGAGGTGAAGTTCATCCTCGAGGTTTACTCCGCCCTTCTAGTCAAGATCGAGGACCTGCAACAAGGGGGCAGCTTAAAAGGTCCTGGACCGTTCAGGGTCCAGTACTCCACCCGGGACACTTTTAAAGTCTTTTCTCGAAATCTAGGCGTGATGGACGACTTAAAGTCTGGAGTCCCTCGTACGGGTTACAGGGGCGTGGTCAGCTTCCTGCACCGCGGTCGGAGGGTGTTCTTGGCTCCCCCCGAGGGCTGGACTCACTATGACGTCAGCTGGAGCTGAGAGACTAGATCAGACTCGTTAGACCGTGTGAACGGTGTCGAAGAGGAGAGAGGAAGGCCCTCTCAGACCAAAGAAGATCAGCGTACACATGAAGGAATCAGCAGCACGGACGCAAGTCTGTTTGTGGGGAGGCTGCTCGTTCGGCTCAGCAGCAGAGTTCAGACTTTTAGAAAAGGACATGAACAGCTTTCGGCACCGTGCCTTGCTTTCTGGGCCCCCCTCTTTATTCACTTTATTTTTTCATTCCTGTGAATTTAACGTCACATCCAGAGGTTGAAGCGAAGGATGGTAGCAGAACATAACTTGAATTATCCTCGGGGGAGGATGTGTCAGCGTTGGTGATCATTCCAACGACCCGGGAGACCGATAGTGTTACGTGTTAAAACTTGTTGGGAAACATTTCACAACGTTTCTGAAAGAATCTATTGTTTTTGATCCAACTATTCCGATCTGAGGTTGACGTTTAAACCCATCAAACTAATCAGAAGCAGAGAGTGAGTGGTGAGCAGGGGGAAATGAAAACCGTATTTTATTGGTAAACAAAGGACTGAACACAGTCGTTATATGAAGCCCTGATGTTTGCCATTAAAGCCGCTCTCCAGCAGTGATGGAGAGAAACAGACTTCAGAAAGTAAAGGTGTCCTGATCCGCGACCAACTTATTACTCATCACTGTCCAACATTTCAGTCACCGAGCAGTGACCCGTCAAGAATTTTGTTTTGGACTGATGTGCCTCTGGGTGCTGCAACGACACACCAGGGTTGTCACGGAAACAGAATTTTAAACTGGGTAGTTGCTTGTTTTTAATGACCAAAACTTGCAGACAAGCTACTGATGCGAACAGTGGAGTCGCCCCCTGCTGGACATCAGAAAGAATGCAGGTTAAAGGCACTTCGGCATTGAATTTGTTTAAAAAAATAAAACATCTGCTCGGTGACTGAGGTGAGAGATAAACGAAAGCCGTTTTCACACATGCCCCTGAAGTCCTCCTGATCTGGTTGTTCACACATGCACCTCACAGCGGGAGACTATCCCTGCCCGATGTGAGGGGCGGTCCGTTATACGACACCATAATGAGAATATTTGCCTTCATATCAATGCTACGTTTCAGTTTTGTGCATGTGTGAAAGCGCTAACAGACAGTGATGTGTAGTGAACAGAGTCCTAAATCAGAGCCATGTTTACACCCCCTTCACTGAACCTGAACCTGAGGGAGAACTTGTTTAGATTTTTAAAATGGGACCACGTTTCTGTTGTAAACTTTGGGAATAAGACTTTGAAGTAAGAACACTAAAAACTCGACAACACTCTGAAACAAAAGACTCTTTTGTACATGAAGAGTAGCTTTATGTGTAACGATGTTTGAACTGATCAGCTGCTCCTGGATCAGTTAGAGAACAAAGCAGAGATGACGTCACAGCTTTGCAGCCTCGCTATGTTTCAGACGAAGGGCGCCAGGTCAGCGATAAACGTTTACTGAGAATAAGGTCGACAAAATGTCCGATCCTTCTCTTATCCATTCAGGATTTTTTTTGTTTGTTATTTTTGCCTTCATTCGATTGGACCGCTGAAGAGAGACAGGAAGTGTTGGGAGGAGAGAGTGAGGGGACGACATGCAGCAAGGGACCGAGGTCGGATTCAAACCCACAGATGTGACGTGCAACATAAACCGCTAGGCATCTGGCACCCCTCAACAAATGTTTTAAAACGATATCCTAGTTATTTTAACGATTGATCGTACTCTAAACTATAACTTAAAAAAAGGCCGAGATCTTCTGTTATATTTTTAACCAATAGCGTGGCTCCATTCAAATGAACAGGTCAGCAAATACTGACGTCATTTTTCTGCCTGGCATTTTTTCCCAGGCAGAAAAGCGCTGACTGTGCGCTCCGGAGCTCTTGCGTGAGAATAAAGCGCTGCACGTCATCCTGTCGCCATGACAACAGTCTGTTAACAAGGCGGCAAAACTGCGGGGAATATCTTAGGGGCCAGTCACACCGAGACTTACAATAATTATAAACATTTGACCTCGACGCGCTTTGATCTGACCCGCCTGATTCTTAGTCTGAAACATTGTGCAGGGTTTGATGGTCGATCTGCTGCTCAAGCTGGACTTGTTAGGCCTCAGATGATTTAATTTAGTTTCTAATGTTTTATCTTCTTTAACTTAAACTTGAAATGTGACGCTGAAGGAAACTGCGTGCTGTCAGAGAGGTCGCAGATCTCCGCCCTGACGCCGTGCAGAGAGAATCTGTTCATATGAAGGATTAAACTTTAACCTCCAGGACGGCTTCAGATGATTTGAACTGTCCTGATCGTGAAGTTCTAACATGTTTATTTAGCTGCAGATGAGATTGAAACCTGACTGATGATTTTCTGTAACCGCCAAACGTGTGTTTTGGTCAGCTTCGGTTTGTTGAAGAACCGCCGACTGACGACGGAGGACGGCAGAGAAACCGTTATCACTGTACTGTAATCAGCTCGGGACCTTATCAAGGAGACCGATCGCCTCCCTCGTCTGTATGGTGAAGTGTTCAACCACTGCCCGATGTGTTTATAACTTTAATACAGTATCAATAAAATCAACTATTTTGATATGTGTCCACACGCTGCGGGAGTCTTCATTCATCTGATGTTCATGTCCCGTCTTTGGTTATCGAGGATGTTTGTAGCCGACTGACGAGAACGACCTGCGGCCCGACCGACCTCTGTGTTCAGTCGAAGTTCACCTGATCTTTCTCTGAAGTTTCACAAACATTTCTTATGTCCTGGTTTACTCCGTGCTGACCACAGCGTACTGATGGCGCTGCTTTCTCGGGCCAGATGGGATCATATTTGGACGCCGAAGAGGAGCGATGGTTGTCAAAGGCTAAGCTATCAGCTAACACAAGTCAATGTTTTCAACATGCTCAACATAACATGAAATGAGTTTTACTGTCAATTTCGGACTGATAAAAACAAACTCAGGGTGCTTCTGAATTGCAAATTGCCTACACCATCTGACCGTAGACAGTCCCTGCTCTCCATGCTGTATCCTGTTAGGACGTACTGCTCAGTAGGCCGATATCTGTTCTTACTTCGTCTGATTCCTTCAGTGTGGACGTGGCATCATTAGCCCGCCTCATGTTACTGACACGCCAACTCAGATGTGATCTGCACGATGGCTCAGTAAATAATACAAAACTTCACATTGCATGTAAACAGTTCAACATTTGAAAGGCGCGTTACCCGATCGGGCCGCATCCATCCTCGTTTTTGTTTTTTATTTGGAGGCGCATGTGAAGTGATGTTTTACGTTTAATTTCGCACAGCATTGTGGGTGTTAAACACGACTCATTTCCTGAAAGGATCGACCAAACCATACTGCACAAAACCAGGAAGTTAGTATCCATGCTGAAATGTTCAGTCTACGTAGGTAGACGCGAAAAATGACCCTTTACCCAGAATGCTTCCATCGGTGATCTCAGATTTAAAAAACACTTATTTCACATGTGGGTCGGTGCGATTATCGACTCAACAAAGACCTTTACAAACGACAGATTGCACAGAAAAGTGAAAGTAGCTAAACGAATGTAATGTGTTTTCTTTCTCCACATTCATAGTTGAAGAGGTGACAACAGCAGCTGCAGCAGGAAAACCATGAAGAGGATCTATCAGTACCTGCTCAGAGTAAAAGCTCTCAGAAGGCAGAGAAAAGAGGAGATAAGCGTTATCTGGTCAGAAAGATAAAACACAAAAAAACACTGACGCGTTTAAAAAAAGTGAGCTGACATCAGCAGTTCTCTGTTTCCTCTTCCTGTCAGGAGTCCTGATCGACATCCTGTTTCACAAACATGTCAGAGGAGCTGTTGAAGCACACGTTCACTGTGGGAAATCATGAAACAGTCACGCCGTGTTCACATGAACAGTTCCTGCTCCCCCCACAGGTCGGGGGTCGTTCTTTTGACTTCAGTGTCGTCGACATGGCAACCTGTGTGAGCATCAATTTAGAGCAGGGGGAGGCGGCTCGCTATATGTTTTGAATTTGGGCTGCAGTACCCATTTTAAACACTAGGTGTCAGTTACATATTGCTACTTTAAAATACATTAAAAAAATCACACAGAGGGAGATTATCAGGCAAAAAACATATTTATTAATCCACACAGTGAACAGTATATAAAAATAAATATATATATATATATATATAAAAATAAATATATATATATAAAAAAATACTGATATAATGAACTTAAAGAGGACATATTATCCCCCTTCTCCACCTTTTCAAACAGTCCCCTGTGGTCTAAATGAAATATCTGTGCTGTGCTCAAAATATAACATGAATCAAGCACTAGAGGAGGTTTGTGACCCTGTATAAACCAGCTCTCTCAGAACGCTCCGTTTTGGTGTGTGTGTCTCTTTAAATGCAACGAGCCCCCCCTGAGTTTTCCCGTAGACATCACTCCTTCACTAGAGAGAATAAAAATGTCAGACCTACGCAAAAGTTTTCCTCTAGGCTGGGGGTGGAGTCCATGGGTGGAGATACCAAGGGAGGGGAGGGGATTTTTTTTTTACCAGAATCCCACTGTGACATCACAAGGAGAGCAAATTATAAACAGAGCATTTTTCTTTGTGTTGTAAGACTTATACAGATCACAAACAAAGGACTGGATGGGTTATTTCTCATTTTGTGGGTCAGTAGACACTCAGGTTACCCAAATAAATGTTCAGAAACACTGTGAAAGTGGATTTTTCATAATATGTCCCCTTTATATGAAAAAACATATATTATAAACAGTCACAGTTCCTGGTTTCTCCTACAGGGGGAGCTGCAACACAACTTTCAACAAAGGCAATTGTGAAAATCGTCTGGAAACGTTGTAACGGTGTGGCAGGCCGGGTAGATGAAGATGGCCAGCATCATCCGACGTCAGAGTGGAAGTACCAAACACACAGTCAGAAGAGCTGCAGCGCGTCTATCGAGCCACACACACACACACACACACACACACACACACACACACACACACACACACACCACACACACACACACACACACACACACACACACACACACACACACACACACACACACACACACACACACACACACACACACACACACACACACACACACACACACACAGAGGAGAGGGTAAGATTAGAGCACTGTTAATGAACTCAGCTAAGGTTACTTTATACCCCTCCCCTCCTTTAAAAAAAAAAAAAACATATTTCACACCAGACTCCGCTGACAGAAGCAATCATTTCCCCTCTCAGACTACGGGAGTTGTTGGCGTGTTGGAGTAGAACGGATTCCCCTTTAAATTCATCATCAGAAATAACTTACTGTAGGAGGGGATGTCGATCTGGTCCGGCAGCTCTCTGATGTTCACCTCAAAGCGGTCCTGCACGTTCTTGAGCGTTCGAGCGTCTCTTTCATCGGACACAAACGTGATGGCCAGACCCTTCTTGCCGAATCGACCCGCACAGGCGACCTGCAACAACGCACAGCGGATACATGTTTTTGTTAATGTGGACAAATATCAGATGCAGGTGAAACCTGACATTCTTTTAACCATAAGCTGCCGCAAGAGAAAGACAGGGAGGACATGTTGGCAACGTTTCCATACCAACGTGTTTGTGCACTTTAGTCAGCATGCAGGAGTTTGCCAAGAAACGACCCGATATTGGGCCAACTGGGCGTGGAGGACTTCCATCTTGTTGCAGGTATTGAAGTCACTTGAATGTGACTGGTGTCGTATCTCATTTTAGATTGCAGCCTCACCCTGTGCAGGTACGTGTCCGAGTCTTCTGGAATGTCGTAGTTGAAGGCGATGTTGACTCCTTCGATGTCCATCCCTAGTCCAAACAGGTTTGTTTCCACCAGGATTGTCCTCTGGGAGTCTTTGAACTGCTGATACCGAGACAGACTGAACACAAGGGGGGAGGGGGATCAGGTTTTTAAGGCTCAAAAGCATAACTTTTGATTTCATAGGTGAATAAATAATAACATTCAAATCATCATCTATGAGAGGAGGTTGACCTTGTGCATCTGAATTTTGTTCTTTCCTTCTTGATGGATTTCATAAACTACTCTCTGGCAGGTCGTATTTTTTTTTTTTCCTGCCTTTGCTTTGTCTGTTGAAGCACTTCTTAAACTTTTTAATGTTTTTAGAGGTGCTGTATGAATAAAGTTATTATTATCATGATCACAAGAGCATAAAAACATTGACAAAGGTGACACTCACAGAAACCTGGTTAAGACTTTGTATTATTTACTGTTTTGGAGATATCTTAACATTTCAATCAACCACCATCCCAGTCGATATTTGTTTCCTCTTTGCTGGAATCAAAGGAGGAACACTGAAACAGAGAGAGAACTTTCAGCTCATCTCTGAATCCCCTCCTGACTTTATCCTCCCATCACTCTCGAGTCACATCACGGCCCGTGCTGTTTCTGGGTTTTCTACATTTGTTTGATATTTACCGTTCCTCCTGAGGCATCCCTCTGTGGATGGCGATGGTCGGAAAGTTGTGCTCGACCAGCAGCTGAGCCAGAGCGACACACCTCTGCACCGACTTCACAAAGACCACCGCCTGAACCCCACACACACACGCACACGCACACGCACACGCACACGCACACACACACAGAGTCAGGTAAGAGATGAAGGTCAACACTCGTCCTCTTCTCTATTCAGCTCAGCTCCTCTGACTGACTGATGTCAACTTAACCAACAACTGTCAGTCAGAAACTTCTTAGGATGTCGACATTTTATTACTTGGATACTTTACGATACAATCTGTGATTCTGATGATCGACACTATCACAAAGTCAAGAAGCTTTGGAAAATAAATTCAGAATGAAGTGTTTAAAGGTCCAATCAGTAAGATGTGTAGTGAGTGAAATGATAAAGTGATCTTACTATATGATCAGACATTAAGGAAACATGCTATGTTGAAGTGCTGGCTTCTCTGACAACAATGCAGCAGCCAGTATGTCCTCCTTCTAACTTTAGATTCTGCTCCTGATCGAAGGGATCCCACCTCTGTACCATCTTTGGACGTGAGCGCAGCGCTGTGTTGCATGTCTGACTGTGTTTTACACATACATGTGAATTCACAGACCGGGATCACCTGGGCTGAGCTCACATTAAACACTTTGTAACCTGTGTGCTGTGGAAATAAAGTTAATAATGAACATGTGTCTCACCCTCAGTGAACAAGTAAGAATCAGGGCTGAAACTGAGACCTTTGTCTAAGAGCCGCTTTGATTGGTCAGTATGACAGACTGGTCCAGAACTCAGTACCTGGTTGAACTTGAGAGCGTCGAGCAGGTCGAACAGCTTCCTCTTCTTCTCGTTGTCCTTCAGCTTGACGTAGTACTGCTGCAGCCCGTGCAGATTCAGCTTTGTCTCATCGACCAGAGAGATTTCCATCTGCTGCAGCAGACAGAAGGTGGTAGGTGGTTAGAGAGGGGGGGGGGGGGGGGGGGGGGGGCGGGGGGTCAGAGAGTGAAAGAAAGGACACGAAAGAGGATTCAGCCCATGATCTGCATATCTGGATGATGCATTTCATATCTTCATCTTATTGGCCGCTTTCTGTCCTGTCGACAGTCTAATACCTCCGACTTTGTAATAACTGGAAGAAGAAATTCACTAACTTTGACTTTTCTGACATATTCACACTGCAGCTGTAGCTGCTTCTTTCTTGCCTCTGATTCCTGCCGTGTTTCTGTTAATACTTGTTTCATGTCTGTAATCAGAAAAAAATGACCTAATGTCCGGATTGAAGCTCACACTAAAACAATCTGCACATCTCCTCTGATGGATAGCTGGTTTAGTGATGAAGAATGAAAAACAGTTTCAGTAATTTTCCTACAGAAAAAGGCAGATGGGGGCTAACGGCCGGCGGTCTCCTTGTCAGGGCCTTTAAAGCTACAGTACGCAACTTGACTTCACGTTAAGGCTAACAAATAAAAGCTGCACTATCAGTCGCAAACTTTTTTCTAAATAACTTCAGGTGATTTTCAGGTTGCAAACTTTCTCCTGAAGGCGTCTTTGAGGTCTGTGACTCGTGCTGGACATTGTGTTTAGGGTACAGGATTCCTGCCTCGGGACAAAAGTTGCACACTGTATCTTTAATGGAGGGTAAACTAGAGGGATGCAGCGTGCAGTCAGACCGCTTCAGGCCCAGCTCTGGCACAGAGAGCAGACGTTTCTCTCCACACACTGAGAGGGAGCCGGAGTTACACTTCTTTCTTGCTCGTGTTTGTTTTTAATGGAGGTTGCAGAGCGACAAGACCTCTGCTCGCTGCTCCGTCGGGTGGGGCAGCACGGAGAGGAGGAGAGACGGAGCACAGGGAGATGAAGGTGGTGGGGGGGGGGGGGGTTGTATTTACATTTTTCATTAACTTTGTGCACACAGGGCGGATCTCTTTTTTCAGGGTGGCGCTGAACATCATGACCTGCTTCTCTTTGGGGGTCTTATGGAAAATCTCCTGGATGTCTCTGAGAATGTCTGGAGGAGAGCACAGGGACTTGGATCAGGATTTCCACAGACATACAGGCTGACTTTTATCTGAATAAATGAGGACATGAATGTTTCGAGGACATAAGAGCTGACCGAGCTGTCGGACCATCTTGTCGCACTCGTCCAGGATGAAATGTTTGATGTGTCTCGGGTTCAGGGTCTGGCTTCGAATCAGAGCATGCGTCCTGCCCGGCGTCCCCACCACAATGTGAGGACTTCCCCCCTTCAACACCTCCATGTCTTTCTTTTTCGACAAACCTCCGACGAAAACCGCCACCTGCAGGCAGACACACAAACAGCATTAGAGATGCTGTGAGACTGTCACAGGTTTCAGGCTGCACAGAATGATCACTGTGTTTCACCTTCACGGTGGGCATGAACTTTGAAAACCTCTTGTACTCTTTGCTGATCTGAAAGGCCAGCTGTTTGGTGGGACACATGACCAGGACAGAAACCTGCAGAAAACCAAAACAACAACAACGGTTACAGCCAATATCCTGAGCCGTACTTTAACCAGGAAGAGTTAGATCACAGACTTTAATGAAGGTTGATTCCAGAAGTACTGAGCTCCATGCAAAACAAGTCAGCTAAATGACGCATGTAGTGCAAGGTCACACACTGACTTTACACTACATGCTTTGGATTTAGCGTACTGCATATATGCATTTGTGTGCAGTTGCCACGAAGAGTGTTCAGCTTCAATACGATGATTGAGATACCACGGCAACAACAACAGAAGTCGAAGGCCCCAAATATTGAGTCATTTCTTGTTTTTAAGACTAAATGTAAACATCAGTATTTGCCAACCTGTGAGTTTCAATGCACGACTTCTGCTCTCTCTTCCTCCCGTGGCAGATATGACTCCAGATCTGTAGTTTCTGTACTTCTCGACACTATCCATCTTTAAGGTTGAAATAATCTGCTGATCCGCATTTTAACACTCACCTATAGTCTAGCAATGCTGGATGCTCAGACTAATGCTGCGTTCCATTTACCTCAGAACTCGAATATGGGAACTGGGAATGACGTCACACCCGAGATAACTGCGTTCCAGTTGCAAGTCAGAGAAGCAACATGGACGCGTCCAGGAGTACCTTTGTTTTGTTAGCTAACACCAGACGATAACAACACACTACGTGATAGTTTCTGTAAACACCTCCACAGAGAGAACTTGCACGATACCATCGGTCTGATTGATTTAATTACACAAAAAAACGACTACGCTGCTAATAAACTCAACAGTTACAGCTTTAACATCCCTTTGGATTCATGTAGCAGCCATATTGGAGCTGAACTCGGGTCGTAATTACGACTTCCGGGGGCGTTCCCGTTGAACTGAAGATTTCCTACTTACGAGATCAACTTGAACGCAGCATAAACGTGGACCAAGTTTCAGATCATGAGGTAAGCGTATGTCGGAGTAATCCCAGGATGAGTCTGCAGAGGGCGCTAAAGGGCTCGTTCTGCAAATCTGAGATGGTTCCCCGGTTTGAAACCAAGAATTTCTTGCCTCTACGTAAGCCGGTGAAAACCTCTCACATAGACTCTCTTCTCTCAGCACTGGACAGCAGCCCTCCCCTGGCAGCCCTGCAGCATTTGGCCCCACCTGGAAGGCTTCTAGAGAGCTGGCCAATCAGAAGAGAGTGGTCATGTAGAGAGGGCAGTCTTTCAGAGACAACTGTTTCAGACAGAGGCTGAAATAAGAGTTTTTACTGACGTCAGTATTAGATAAATAAGGAGGTTTCATGCAAAGTTGCCCTAGAGGCTTTGTAGTCTGACGACAGGACAGGTGAACATGAGGAGAATATTGGATCTTTAAAAAACAAAACAAGGATTTTATTGTTTCTAAATGTGCAGAATCTTGATGTTGAACATTTGTACAACCTCTGTTTCTGGTTCATTGTGAAATGAGACTCAGTTGACGTGTTGTTATAAGAACTAGAGGTGCATGTGCCTATTCAGGGTGAGTGGCCTGACAGGTAGAACCTGGACACAACGCTCCGCAAAGCACATTACTGCTCATTAATAATCCTTCTCTCTCCTCGTCTGTTTTTTAAAACTGGACAAAATAAGAGGGCACTCTCACACAGACGATTTAGAGATTAAATCAAACTGAAGTGCATGAGACGATCTTCAGACAGCAACAAGGAGGACACTCACCTGTCCAGTGACGGGCTCCAGCTGTTGCAGTGTGGCCAAAACAAACAATGCAGTCTTCCCCATCCCAGGTTTGGCCTGACAGAGAACATCCATCCCACGGATCGCTTGAGGGATGCATTCGTGCTGCACTGTAACACAAACACACACATATATAACACGTCTCTATTGGAGGCGGAGCATACAGCTGTCTCATTATTGATTTATTACTGTGAATCCAAACAGTAGGCATGTCTTTTTCCTCTTGGAACTCACGCTCAGTCGGATGCTCGAAGCCGCAGTCCACAATGGCTCTGAGAAGTTCAGGTTTGAGCAGGAAGTCTCTGAATCCAGAGGAGTGGGTGGACACAGAGGAACCCTTCGCCCCCTCCTTCCCCATCAACCTTTCACCTGTACCCCCCACATCCCCGACACCCCCGGCCTCCACCTCGTTCAGAAGATCGCTGTCCACGTCGTTCTCAGTCATTCTGACTCACCTGCAAAATACACCAGATAAGATAAGATATACTTTATTCATCCCAGCAGGGAAATGTAGATGTTCCAGCAGCCAGCTTACATACAAACACACAACACAACACATAAATACATATCCCACCCATACAAAAAAAAACATGAGCCCACAATACATAGCCAGGATAAAAAAAAGTGGTATGGATGGTCCATGTGCCTAAGTAGCTGTTACTCATAGATAACAGTACAAAATACTAGCTCTGCCAGTGCATAGTATGACAGATAAATAAAGAATTATGGTAAAAAAGCAGTCAAGTGGGCAAAAGATGGATAAAAGCACGTTTTAAAGGAGTTATCACAACACTAGAATTTTAAAAGTTGTTACGATACTCAAAGAAATTTAAGGACGCAAGACAATATTGACCCCCGTTCCAATGCCATGGTCGCAAGAATTTACGTCCCAGCCCCCCAACGTCAGGTCATTTCTTGATTCTAATCATCAAAGACTGCAGGCACTTCATTACTGCTAGTTAACGTGAGCTTCCTCTCTGACTCCCTGAGCTGTGGCAGAAGCTGGTTGCAAAATCTGCAAAGTAAAATGTGTAGCAGGATAAGTTTCTCATTTCTTCTGACTCCAAACAGGTTTTAAAACATGTATTTATTTTTTACATTATGCAAGAAGCTGAGGAGAGGTGAAAGATATGAAGTGATAAAGGTTGTTGTTGTTGTTGTTGTTGATTTTAAACTACTTTCATCCCTGATAATATTCCTTAAAACAAAGAAGGAACCAGGAGGATTTTATTTTAATTTTCTGAGAGTGAATATTAAAACAGCGTTCATTCAAAAATTGACTTCAATCAATCTTTGTTTTTAAAAAAAATTAGGAAATAAATTTTTTTAAATTGTTTTATTTTTTTTTATTTTTTTTAGAAAAATCGTGATAAAATCGTTTCATGAGCAAAGTATCGCGATTTTTTAACATAACGCTTAACATTTAAAATACTTCCGGTTAAGAGCGCGTTATTTGTCTGTTTTTTTTGTTTATTTCGGGAAAATAAAAGTAGTGAATTAAGTCACCATAGTCACCTGTCACAGCTAGCTCCAGTTAGCTTCACGGCTAACAAACAACTCGCCAACTCGCCTCGTTAACCTGTTACGGGCAAATATTCTGACATTAAACTGTGACAGTCACATTACTGCAGGTGCTACTCGTGCTGTGGGTTTATAAAAAACTTGAGGCAAACAATCTACCTTTACTACGAAGCAGAGAAACGAACCGCATCGTCTGATCAAAAGTAAAAGTAAAAGTTTGCGCATACTAATGACGTTAAGAGTGAGCGACCCTGAGGAGTGGAAGTACCCGGATGCTACTCCACCATGCTTGTTGTGTTTTTTTTTCTTCTTCTTCGAGAAACAACAGAAGCTAATGCAGTTTAAATTCTCGCTGTTTGGAATTATTTCTGGATCTTAAAGTTTGTTTAACGCATTAAACAGGTGAGTCATCATTGAAAGTAGAAGATTATCTTTAATGTATAATTATTTTTACTTTACTACTTGTTTTGCACTGTTGTTGAACATGTTACACACATGCACATACCCGTGGACAACATGCACTCATGGAGAGATGTCAGGATGAGGGGGCTGCCCACAGTGAACACGACTGGCCCCTCTCCAGCTACCACACTTGTTCTGCACCGGGATTTGAACCAGCGACCCGTTTCCCAACCCCCGTAGCCTGATTCTGAAAGCTCTGATGGATAGTGACTGTGATTTGGTGTGTTAGGGTTGAAATGATAAAGAATAGTCATGACTTGTATGTAAACAAAAATAAAATAAAAATGCATGTTCCTGCTATGAGTTCTTAAAGTGACAGTACTGATGCTCCGTTCCTTTGTAACAGAAATGTCGTGTTTTGCCGGGGACCCAAACTTCTGTCCGGAGTGTGGGAACATCCTTCCTCTCCCCGGAGTGCAGGACGTGGTCCGATGCCCTCGCTGCTCCTTCTCCATCCCTGTAGCAGGTACCGACACTCAGGGCCAGGGCGGCTCCACGATTTTCTGGGCCCCTTCCACCACGGCCTCAGCCAACCCTGAGATGTTAACATAAACCCCCCCCTCCAAAAAAAAAAAAGCATGAATGATCAGCTGGTTAGTGTGTCATTTCATGCTGCATTTCTATTGGATGATAAATTGACATAGATGGTTGAAGCATTCACGTGGTGAGACGATGTCAGGCTTGTCTTTGTTCACAAGAGCCTGAGATCGGTCATCTGGGAGCCTCTCTCACTCCGCAGTGCAGCGTAGGATCGTCATGTTTGAGCGACGACCACAGAGCCAATCGTCTTTTGCCTTGGACTTCCCAAAATCTGTACCTGGACACAAATCTAAACCAAAACTATAGATTTGATTTCAGGCCCCTCTTCTTCTGTTGGGGCCGTGGGTTGTTAGCCCAACATTTCCCCCACTGTGACCCCCATGATGACGACAACAACAACAACACTGCTTGTGTGTTTACTTGTTTACTGATGACAGCAGAAACGTCCCTCTTACCTTTTGATGTGTTTTATGTTCCAGAGTTTTCCGGGCAGGAGATCCGCTCCACCGTGGTCTTTAACCCCGTGGAGCAGTCCACCATGTCTCTGGAGGGCGAGGACGACTCTGAGCTGAAGGGAGCTGTGGTAAGATTGTTAAAAAAAATGTTTCTGTACTTGTTCATACCTCGTTTATGTGTGTGTGTGTGTGTGTGTGTGTGCGCTCCGTGATAACGAGGTGAACTCCTCCCTGCAGATCGACAGGCGCTGCTCTCGCTGTAACAAAGAGGGGATGATTTATCACACCAGGCAGATGAGATCAGCTGATGAGGGACAGACGGTCTTCTTCACCTGTACACACTGCAGGTAACCACCATGAACACGACGTGTGTTGTTTGTCTTCCCGCGGGCTCTTCCTCTGATTGTTTTCGTATTTGTCTCACAGGTATCAAGAGAAGGAGGACTCCTGAGAAGACGTCCAACTCGCCATCTCTCTTTTTTTGGCACTCTTCTCATCTGTGAAAAGATTTCTCAGTTAAAAATGAATCTGATGTTTGATCTCTGGAGACAGAAAGGTTTTTGGATCTTTGGTCCCAAAGAATATCTGTTCCTGTGAGCGTCACATTTTGAACGAGTCGTAAGAACATATATTTTTATTGCCACTGCTTTTCGTAAGACGGCTCATTATGCTAAATTAAATGTACCATTCAAAGAACTAGCAAAAGAAAATACGCTCAGACATCTTTTCTGAACAAACAGCCTCAATCAGTAGCTCCCGCAGCAGCTGAAACAGGAGTGATGTGGTTTCTTTCTTTTTTGAGTTTTGGAGAGAAGTCCGGCTGCTGCATTTTTGGACAAACTGTAAAGTGAACTGTGTTGATGAAGACGTGAGTACAAAGAGTTACAGGAGTCAAAACGAGAGGAAATAAAAACATGCATGGGATCCTGAGCTGTCATTTTTACGTGATGTCTTGAAATAATAAAGATATATATATATATATGAATTAAAACATTAGTGGAAATCTGTTTGATGAAGTCGGTTCATTCAAATCACATTCTTCAAATGAAGCCCATTCAGATGTTCGCTCTGATTTTTAATGCCTTTTATTTTAGAGAGAGGACAGTGGATAGAGGCAGAAACCTGAGAGAGAGACGTGCAGAAAAGGAGTCACGGGTCGGACTCGAACCCAGGGCGGAGCCTCTGTACATGTTGACTTTAAGCTTTGTGTGTTTCCTCATTCTGTGTTCAGCGTCCTCATAACGTGTGTCCTAATTAATCTTTCTTATTATCCTCTCTTCTCTCCCGTTGCGGGATCAGTAAAGTACATCTTCTTCCATCTGTGATATCCACAGACTGTAAATATGAATATAACTCCTGACATGTCTTAAAGACCAGAGGCCTCATGCCCATTTAAAGTGGGGGGGGGCTGGAGCATGTAGTAATGATAAATTATATTACAAGTATGGAAAGGATCTGATAAAAAAAAACCTACAAAAAAAAAGAAACAATTAGGACTTGAGGACTTTTGCACGATTAAACTAAAGTTACCTCAGACTTAAAGACTATAAATGTTAGAACATGCAGAAAATGGCCTCATTCTTCCCTTTTTTAAGGACCCCTTGGCCCCACTCTCACTAAGCCCCCCCCCCCTTGCATGAGGTTTGTACTAAACATACATTTGCACGAATCATAGGTTGTAAATAATAAAACCAAAACTTCACATTACAACTTAAACTCATGCACGTTGACGTTTCCGTGCGTATTTGTGCCATTAAGTCAGTGTTCAGGAGTTTACCTGCAATTTCTGATCATTAATAACCCGATCTTTACACGGTCTATGGCCAGAACAAGCGAGTAGTAAGTTTCAGTTTTATCCAGCAGAGGGCGATACTGAGTTCAGCGCATTAAACGATCGCTACAAAAAAAAAAAAAGAGTCGAACAAGACGAGGACCAATGAGAGCGCTCGTATCACCATCTGACCCGGAAGCATGTTCGCTCTATCTCATCCTCAGAGAAGTGCTGGATGACAACAATGCAGATAATCTGTCGCTTTAAAAAATTAACTTTTGAGTTCTTATAAACTTTATCTGCACCCTAACGGTAAATATTGTGTTTTATACAGAAGTTTAAGTGTTTGTTTGAAGCCTTTGCTCTCTGAGTGACTGTTGTGAGTTTACTTTGTCACTAAACGTTTAAGTCATATTGAGGATCCATATCATCGAAAGCACCTACAATTTAGAAAAAGTCAGATCTCCAGTTAAATTGTTTGCATGTTGTCTGCACATGAGTTGACTTATTCGTGCAATCTCGACATTTTGCAGGAGTTTACCTGCAATTTTAATTATAATGAAAAAAAAAGAAATGACCCCGCATTGTTTGCGTGGGACTTCTATTCTTGTTGCCATGGTAATAAAAGAGGTGTTGATGTTGTTTGATTTAAACTAGAATCACATTGAAGTTTAAAAGTCTTGTATTATTATTCTGTACTCTTTATCATCCTCCTGCTTCTCCTCCTGGTCTCTGTCCTCATCCTCCTCCTTCTCCTCCTTGTTTCTGTCCTCATCCTCCTCCTTCCTGCTTCTCCTCCTGGTCTCTGTCCTCATCCTCATCCTCCTGCTTCTCCTCCTGGTCTCTGTCCTCATCCTCCTCCTTCTCCTCCTGGTCTCTGTCCTCATCCTCCTCCTTCCTGCTTCTCCTCCTGGTCTCTCTCCTCATCCTCCTCCTTCCTGCTTCTCCTCCTGGTCTCTCTCCTCATCCTCCTCCTTCCTGCTTCTCCTCCTGGTCTTTATCATCCTCCTGCTTCTCCTCCTGGTCTTTATCATCCTCCTCCTTCTCCTCCTGGTCTCTGTCCTCATCCTCCTGCTTCTCCTCCTGGTCTCTCTCCTCATCCTCCTGCTTCTCCTCCTGGTCTCTCTCCTCATCCTCCTCCTTCCTGCTTCTCCTCCTGGTCTTTATCATCCTCCTCCTTCTCCTCCTGGTCTCTGTCCTCATCCTCCTGCTTCTCCTCCTGGTCTCTGTCCTCATCCTCCTGCTTCTCCTCCTGGTCTTTGTCCTCATCCTCCTGCTTCTCCTCCTTGTCTCTGTCCTCATCCTCCTGCTTCTCCTCCTGGTCTTTGTCCTCATCCTCCTGCTTCTCCTCCTGGTCTCTGTCCTCATCCTCCTGCTTCTCCTCCTGGTCTTTGTCCTCATCCTCCTGCTTCTCCTCCTTGTCTCTGTCCTCATCCTCCTGCTTCTCCTCCTGGTCTTTGTCCTCATCCTCCTGCTTCTCCTCCTGGTCTTTGTCCTCATCCTCCTGCTTCTCCTCCTGGTCTCTGTCCTCATCCTCCTGCTTCTCCTCCTGGTCTCTGTCCTCATCCTCCTCCTTCCTGCTTCTCCTCCTGGTCTCTGTCCTCATCCTCCTGCTTCTCCTCCTGGTCTCTGTCCTCATCCTCCTGCTTCTCCTCCTAGTCTCTGTCCTCATCCTCCTGCTTCTCCTCCTGGACTTTATCATCCTCCTGCTTCTCCTCCTGGTCTTTATCATCCTCCTGCTTCTCCTCCTGGTCTTTGTCCTCATCCTCCTGCTTCTCCTCCTGGTCTTTGTCCTCATCCTCCTGCTTCTCCCCTTCATCTTTCTCCTCTTCCTGCTCATTGTCCACCTCCTCCTCTTGCAGCTGCCTACTAAACATGCATTTCAAGTTGTTAATGGATTTCAAAACCCTAGCTGTGTTTTTCTCTCGTGGTGCGTTCACTGACCTTGCTCTGTGCTGCTGCAGATAATGAAGCTGCGCGTGCAGCTGCAGTGTAAGAACCTTCATGAATACCTGAAAGAGCTGACTCCTGAGATCCTGGACAGACTGTACAACCATCCAGCGACATGCCTGGCTGTCTACAGGTGTGATACTGCCTTATATGAACAACATACTGAGGTATATTTGGAGGCCTGTGGGGTGTTATTTATTGTGTCTGGTCTTTACAGGGAACTCCCCTCTCTGGCTAAGAACTATGTGATGAGGATGCTGTTCCTGGATCAGCCTCTCCCCCAGGCAGCGGTGGCTCTGTGGGTGAAGAAGGACAGTCAGAAGTAAGTCCTCGCCTCATGTCTGTTCTCAGATCTGGCAAACCAAGGGGCGCCCAAAAACGCCCAAGTAGGGGTGTCTTAAAACTGCCTTCCTTCTCTCTCATCAAAGCTGTATCGACCTGTTTATGTTAATAATGTAAGAACTACAAAACAAAAAGATTAGTTTTTAAGAAAAAGCAGAGTGGGACTTCTCCAACTACCAAGGAGCATGGAGAGTGAAAGGCAAAACCCTTCAGGACTCCACATTACTGGTTCACTTAACTTTCAGTGTGTGTGTCTTTGTGTGTCTTTGTGTGTGTGTGTGTGTGTGTGTGTGTGTGTGTGTGTGTGTGTGTGTGTGTGTTGTGTGTGTGTGTGTGTGTGTGTGTGTGTGTGTGTGTGTGTGTGTGTGTGTGTGTGTGTGTGTGTCTTTGTGTGTCTTTGTGTGTGTGTGTGTGTGTGTGGGTGTGTGTGTCTGCAGGGATCATGATGAGTGTGTGTCCGTGTTAGCGGGCCTCCGTCTGTGGCACAGTCAGCAGCTGCAGGGAGGTCTGCAGGGCTACATCCTGAACCCCATCTTCAAAGAGAACTTGAGGATCGCTCTGCTGGGAGGGTACACCACACACACACACACACACACACACACACACACACACACACACACACACACACACAAAGCTGCTACACTCTCCTCTCCTCTGTCTCACAGAGGTCGTCAAAATGCAATTCTTCAGTTTCTTCTTTTCGCTGTTTTTGAGCAGCGTTTGAAAATGATAAAATCTCTGTTATCTGAATGATTGATAGCATCAAAAAGTATCAAAGCTTTAAACATATTTTAGATCTTCAGTTGCAATTTTTTCCAAAAGAGAGAGAGACCTCCATCTAAATAGCACAATTACATTGGCAATGCTTCGTTGTTAAAAAGTTGCCAACAAATGTTGTTCAGATTTAGACATTGTGCAGGAGTGTTCTGCAAGTTTTGTGAATTCAGATCAAGAAATGAACCCGGATTGATCGCCTGGGACTTTTGTTGCTCTGGTTACTGAATTTGTTTGAATCTGGTATCATGACAAGTACAGCACATGTTTCTACAAGCTGTTTATCACAAAGGGGGAATTCTCCGTCTGTCCTTATGTGCACAGAGCCGTTTAAAGTTTGTAAAAATCAAACAGACGGGGTTGGTTTGTTACAGGAAAGGCATTAAATGTTATTATTATATCATCCTAACAGAATCAACTGAAGCCTTTCAAACTCCACATTTGAATTTTAAAACGATAGACACTTTCCTGTATCTTTAAATAATAGTTTCTTCTCCCCTGTCGTCGCTCAGGGGCAAAGCGTGGGCAGACGAGGGCGCCAGTCTGGGTCCAGACCGCCACGCTCGGGACATCGAAAGTCTTGACAAATACGCGATGGAGCGCTGGGAGGTGATCCTGCAGTTCATGGTGGGATCTCCGTCTGCCGCGGTCAGTCAGGACCTCGCTCAGCTGCTGGTTCAAGCAGGACTCATGAAAAGGTACGCTGGAGTTACAGAGCAGAGAGATGACACCTGCTCTGTCTCGGTCTCAGGTTTCTAGCCTGTTTCACACATTAACTCAGGCCCCTGAATGCACCTCGCAGCGGGAGAATACCCCTGTCTGACAGGTGGGTTTGGATCTTGGCACCTGGAAGCGAACGAAGCAGCAGAGTCTGACATACAGAGACATGCTATGTGTACTTTGATGTATTCACCGGATAAACAAAGGGCAGAGAAGAACATACTGGAAAGCGTATGAAGCCGTTTCATCACGTGCACACTGTGTTTTCTTCTTCTCTGTTTATTTCAGTGAGGCAGGAGAGGCTCCCTACATCACCTCAGCTGGTTTCCAGTTCCTCTTACTGGACACGGCCTCTCAGCTGTGGTACTTCACCCTGCAGTACCTCAAAACTGCTCAGGTACTTTAAACACTGCTCTTGTGCTGAAACGTGCAATATTGAGAATCTCTGCTCGTTTATAACCCTTTCCTTTTCTTTCTCAGTCCAGAGGGATGGACCTGGTGGAGATCTTGTCCTTCTTATTCCAGCTCAGCTTCTCCACGCTCGGCAGAGTCAGTTAGCTTCTCTTTGATTCTGTTTGTGAGCACTTTGAAAAACAACTTGTGTTATTTCTTTTTGCTTTCGAGTGTCTGTTTTGTTATCGATTGCCTGCTGTCTGTTACGCTTCAGGATTACTCTGTGGAGGGAATGAGCGAGTCTCTACTCACCTTCCTGCAGCACCTGAGGGAGTTTGGACTCGTCTTCCAGAGAAAGGTGAGACGCAGACGAGAGAGGGAGGATAACACTTTAAAAATACAGCCAGCATCACTTTCATATCTCCTTTAAATGACCATGTTTTCTGTATTCTTCTGTCATCAGAGGAAGTCGAGGCGGTACTACCCGACCAGGCTGGCCATCACTCTGGCTGCAGGAGTCACCAGCTCCTCCTCCTCCTTCTCCACCTCTTCTTTAGCTACCACTCCTGGTACGGGAGACCCGGGCTACATCGTGGTGGAAACAAATTATCGAATCTACGCTTACACAAGTAGGTGTGCTGCATGTTAACATAACGTAGACATTTTAATATAATATACTACTAGGCTACGAGGAGATTGGAGTTGTTTCTTTTCTCAGGTGAGTGTGTATTTACAAAGCTGGAAAATATTACTGAACGCATGATACTGGATGAGAGACAGACGGAGACACTGCAAGTTGTTTGTTTTTAGCATGGGCTACGGCTAAATTAGCATATAGCTTAATTAAGGCTGAATGCTCCAATATTTTACTCTGATCAATAATAAAGTTTCAGGGGACCCCATTTGGTCAAGACCCCAAGGTTGGAAAAGCCTGGTTTATGATTTATCTCTTTCTTTCTCTCTCCCCCAACCTCTCTCTTTCTCTCTCTCTCCCCCACCCTCTCTCTCCCTCTCTCTCTCTCTCCCCCCCTCTCTCTCCTCTCTCTCTCCTCTCCCCACCCTCTCTTTTCTCTCTCTCTCCCCCACTCTCTCTCCCCTCTCTCTCTCCCTCTCCCACCTCTCTCTTTCTCTCTCTCTCCCCACCCTCTCTCTCCCTCTCTCTCTCCCTCTCCCCCACCCTCTCTCTTCTCTCTCTCTCCCCCACTCTCTCTCTCCCTCTCTCTCTCCCTCTCCCCCACCCTCTCTCTTTCTCTCTCTCTCCCCCACCCTCTCTCTCCCTCTCTCTCTCTCTCTCTCTCTCCTCTCTCTCTCCCTCTCTCTCCCCCACCCTCTCTCTTTCTCTCTCTCTCCCCCACTCTCTCTCCCTCTCTCTCTCCCTCTCCCCACCCTCTCTCTTTCTCTCTCTCTCCCCCACCCTCTCTCCCTCCCTCTCTCTCTCCCTCTCCCCCACCTCTCTCTTTCTCTCTCTCTCCCCACTCTCTCTCTCCCTCTCTCTCCTCCCTCTCCCCACCCTCTCTCTTTCTCTCTCTCTCCCCCACCCTCTCTCTCCCTCTCTCTCTCTCTCCCTCTCCCCCACCCTCTCTCTTTCTCTCTCTCTCCCCACCCTCTCTCTTCCCTCCCTCTCTCTCTCCCTCTCCCACCCTCTCTCTTTCTCTCTCTCTCTCTCCCCCCCCTCTCTCTCTCTTCTCTCTCTCTCCCCACCCTCTCTCTCCTCTCTCTCCCTCTCTCTCTCTCTCTTTCTCTCTCTCTCCCCCACCCTCTCTCTCTCCTCTCCCTCTCTCTCTCTTTCTCGCTCTCTCTCTCTCTCCCCACCCTCTCTCTTCTTCCTCTCCTCTATCTCTTTCTCTCTCTCTCCCCACCCTCTCTCTCCCTTTCTCTCCCTCTCTCTCTCTCTCTCTCTCGCGTCTCCTCTCTCCCCCACCCTCTCTCTCCCTCTCTCTCCCTCTCTCTCTCTCTCTCTCTCTCTTTCTCTCTCTCTCCCCCACCCTCTCTCTCTCTCTCTCTCTCTCTCCCTCTCTCTCTCTCAGACTCCGAGCTTCAGATTGCTCTGGTGGCTCTGTTCAGTGAAATGTTGTACCGCTTCCCCAACGTGGTCGTGGCTCACGTCACCAGAGAGTCGGTGCAGCAGGCCATCGCCAACGGCATCACGGCACAGCAGGTACCCCAAGACCCTCCCCCACGCTGAAACGCTGCAGGGGCACGTTCAGGGTGCTGCTGCTGTGTGTCATTAAAACAACAAATATCTGGAACATGTGAAAGGTCTACTTGTTTGTAGGTTCATTTAATCTTTTATTTACATGATTAAAATAAAGAAGCATCATCAGGTAAAGTGATTAGAATCATGAAATCAGTGAAGATACAGACAGTTTCCAGTAAATTAAACATATATGTCAGTTTCTGAGCTTTGAATGAGAACCTTAAAAACGTCCTTTATTCAGATATAAACATGTTCAAAAGCACCCGAGTACTCCAAAGAGTTTTCAGGAAGTATCCAGATGTGTGTTGAATTAATCTTTATTTTGTACCTTTCAGATCATCCACTTTCTGAGGACCAGAGCTCACCCTGTCATGCTCAAACAGGTCAGTAAAAGCTTTTTGTAGCATGCGCTGGGTGAATACTCAATTCTGATTGGCTGACAGGTGTCACACGGGTGCCCATTAGCTTTTGATTTATGGACACCCATGGAAGTAGTTCCAGTTAACAGTCTGTTTACTGTTCCAAGTGAATGCACTGCAGACGGTATCTAAGATGAGTTACCATAGCAACATGACCCGTACCCTAGCCTTTATTTTTTCTGGCCTATAAAACTCTGCCGGCATCATCGACTGGCCGCAAACTCTGCGACTTTTGGGACTATCTGAGTGTGGTCCTTTGCTGCATCATCCTCTGACCACCACAAGATGGCGCTCGTAGCTGCAACCAGTAGCCTTCACTCGGGGCTGTGATGTCGGTAGTAAAATAAAGTGGTTAAAGCGTCTGCTGGCTAAGATGTTGGATGTTCAGTGTGAGTGATGTGAACAGAGTTTATGTGCGATGATGATGATGCCGACTGTTGGGTCTCTAACCTGTGTGCGCGGCGTCCTCTGTGTGTCTCAGACTCCGGTCCTTCCTCCGACCATCACGGATCAGATCAGACTGTGGGAGCTGGAGAGAGACAGACTGCAGTTCACTGAGGGTGAGACACATGTTCATTATTAACTTTATTTCCACAGCACACAGGTTACAAAGTGTTTAATATGAGCTCAGCCCAGGTGATCCAGAATCTAAAGTTAGAAGGAGGACATACTGGCTGCTGCATTGTTGTCAGAGAAGCCAGCACTTCAACAGAGCATGTTTCTTTAATGTCTGATCATATAGTAAGATCACTTTGTCAGTTCACTCACTACACATCTTACTGATTGGACCTTTAAACACTTCATTCTGAATTTATTTTCCAAAGCTTCTTGACTTTGTGATAGTGTCGATCATCAGAATCACAGATTGTATCGTAAAGTATCCAAGTAATAAAATGTCGACATCCTAAGAAGTTTCTGACTGACAGTTGTTGGTTAAGTTGACATCAGTCAGTCAGAGGAGCTGAGCTGAATAGAGAAGAGGACGAGTGTTGACCTTCATCTCTTACCTGACTCTGTGTGTGTGTGTGTGTGTGTGTGTGTGTGTGTGTGTGTGTTCTCTCCTGCAGGTGTGCTGTATAACCAGTTCCTCTCCCAGGTGGACTTTGAGGTGCTGAGAGACCGAGCTCAGGTTGGATTTTGTTTTTCTCTCTCCATCACTAAATATTTATAATTAATCATCATTATGAATAAGCTGCACGGTGGTGAAGTGGTTGGCGCTGTTGCCTCACATCGAGAAGGTTTCCTGGTTCGAATCCCCTGCTGGGCAGGGCCAGAGTTTGCATTTTCTCCCTGTGCATGCTGGGTTCTCTTCGGGTCTTCAAATAAAAAACAAATATAAAGAGAACGATGCTTTGATAGAGGTTGTTAATGAAGGACAACATGTGTGGTTACTTCCTAGATAACAAGATAAGTAATCTAATTTATTTAATTTGATATTTTGATCTTTTTTTGGAATGAGCTTCCATTGGATAACACATCCTGTTTACGCCTTCAAAGTGGACCTTTCAGGCTCACTGTCATGATTGTCACTTCTATGTATTAACATGTTTCTGTTTGAAGTGCTGATAGGTTCTGTTCCTCCTGCTGCTGTTCTGTAATGTTGTTGTGGTTGGGTTTCAGGGTCTGGGCTGTCTGGTGTGGCAGGATGTGGCTCACAGGGTGATGGTGGTGTCGCCTCAGGGACACAGCGAGGTGAAGAGGTTCTGGAAACGACAAAAGACTCACACGTAACACAAGGACAAAAGATGATTACTCACACATGACATGGGGCAAAGAGACAAAAACAACACATAAAACGGGGAAGAGGAGAAAGACTCGCTCTTAATACAAGGACGAGAGACGGAGACTCACATGTAACGCGATGAGGTGCAGTGAGGACACCTGTTCATCGCTGTAAGAAAGAGGAGAGGATTTAATTATTTTGTATATTTCAAAAGATGTTTATTCGTGTGTTTTGGATTAAACGGTGAGAGTGAAAATATGTCTGCTTATTTGTCTCTTGAAGGCTGAACTGAAGCTGTTTCATCACAAAGACTGATGATAATGAGTTAACTTTCTTTAGATCTCGGGGAAAAAAAGATATTCGTTCATTATGAGGGGAAAACCAGTGTAGCTTTTAGGAGATAAGAAGATAAATAAGCTGAGATCTCGACATAACAACCAAAATTTGCTTATCGTGGGAGAATGGTGTCAAACAAATAAAATGTATTGCTGCACGACTGCTTGGCGCTTACGTTGCTATGCCTCGCAAAAGGCAGATTTTTATCAAATTAAGTCAAAATGACAAGAACAACTTCTCAACCTGGAAACTGGGACGACCTGAGGAGCATACGAATTCAGCATCTGTTCCTGTCGGGGGCTTTGGAGTCCCATCGATGGCGGTCTCCATGCTGGAAATGCTGCCTCGCTCTAACTTTCAGTCAACCTAACGACAGGCTGAGAGCTGAGAGCTGAGGCTGGTTTTAAACCTCTTGACAAACTGTTACACCGCGCCCACCTGTCAATCATGTCAGCTACACGCCTTATTGTGAATAACTCTTATTCTGCATAAAATCAAATCAGATGAGTCATCAAAAAATTCACCGCCCCGTACAGTGTGTGCTGATTGAGTCATGAGCTAATCAGACCTATTTGGTTTTTTGAACCAGGCTGTAAACATGTTAATTTTTTTGTAAAAACAGGCTTTTTTGTGTGTGTGACTTCCTGGGCTTCTGCAGCCAGCCTCTAGTGGACACTCGACAAACTGCAGGATTTTGTATTTCAGCACTGGCTTCATTTTCAACACCAGAGTTTACCGCTTGGTCGGGATAAAATAAGTCGGGATCTCAAGAAAAGAACTGGTTATCAGGAAGACGGAGACAAGGCAAATATATTTATGCATATCTGCTTAAGGCTGCCGTACTAAGTATCCCTTCTCTCATCTGTTCTTTCTGTAATTAATAGCCTTCTCCATTTGCAAAATTTACTTCTTTCAACACATTTCTCAAACTTCCCCCTTCCTGAAATAGCCTCAAACTGAAAAACATCAAAACTACTCAAAAACAACATGTAAACAGAATGGGAGAATACTTTCTTCTGTTAATTTCTCTAAAACAAAAGCAAATTGAAAAGCTGGTGAAACTTTTTATTTTTACACCAAACATTCCTCCGTTTCAAATTCAAAGTCAAAGTCAACATTATTGTCAATTTCAAAATATGCCAGACATACAGTGGAATCGAAATTGCGTTTGTCTCCGTCCCGCGGTGCAATACAACCAAAATGAGGTAAAATAAGATAAAATAAAATGAGGTCAAAATAAGATAAATAATATTTACAGTAATAAATTCTAAATTGTGCAAAAGGTACAAAATGGTAAATAAAATAAAATAAAATTTAAAGAAAAAGTAAACTTGTGCAATATGTGCAATGTGCAGTAAACTGAGTGTACTTTTGAATTTATGAATTAAAACGTGCAAAACATGCTTTGGAGCCAAACAACATTAATGACTGTAATTTTTTGTAACAACAACAAAATAATAATGCATCTATATGAACATTAATAGTTGAATAAGTAGATAAAATCAGCCGTGCAGGGCAGAGAATCGCACAGTTCCTCTGTCATCATGAGCAGCCAGAGTGAGGGCTGGCTAAAGTTAGCATTAGCGTTAGCCACATCATGTTTGTACTGCAGCCACAGCTGGACGTGATAACACTTTATGATTATTATCATAAGTGTGCTTCAGGCTGTTTTCAACTAGTGTAAACACGGGCACTGGACTTTCCTGTCCCGGGACATAAACTCGATAAAAGGGATAAAACCGACAAGCCGGACTCCAGGCCGCAGATGGAGCCGGGGACCTCGCGTGAAACTCCGACCGCCGCGGGGGTCCCCAACCCGGCCTGTCTGCGGGAGGAGACCCCGGGGGAAGAAGCGAAGGGCGGAGCGGGGAGCACCGGAATGCTGCAGCGGAGAGGAGTGAAAGGAGACACCGAGGAGGAGGCGAAAGAGCAGGAGGAGGGAGATGAAGATGCGTGGAGCCGGAATAGAACCGGAGGGGAGGAAGAGGATGCTGCAAAATATGAGGAGGAGCTGGACCCAAGAATACAGGCATGTTATTTTTATATCAGTATTAATTAAATATATTTATTCAATTGTTTTATCAACGTTTTGCAAAAGTGCATCTTCAAAGTGAATAAATCTGAACAATGTAAATATAGGTACACATGATGGTACTGGTCTGCTCCTTGCACAGACTGGTACCCACCCAGCATCAACTGCCTCTGCCTGCAGGACTGCTGATGCACACCCCCCCCCCCCCTTTCAACACTGTATCATGGCTTTTATTCCAGATTGTCTGTTCATACTGTGCCTTTTATAGATTATATTTGCTTTTTGTTTGCAGGAGGAGCTGGAGCACCTGAACCAGGCCAGCGATGAGATCAACAAGCTGGAGCTGCAGCTGGATGTGAGACAGTTTGTTTGTATTCTTACAGCCTCTGTTTCATGTCAGGGTTCACTGAATTTGGCATGTGATGCTTGGTCCTGTGTGTGTGTGTGTGTGTGTGTGTGTGTGTGCTCCCTGCAGGAAGCCCGGTCCAGCTACAGGAGGATTCTGACTGACTCTGCCAGAAAGCTGAATGGTCAGGGCTCGCAGCTCGGCGCCTGCATCGAGAAAGCGAGGCCGTACTACGAAGCCCGCAGACTGGCCAAAGAAGTGAGTGTTGTAGCTGAAGATGAGACATGAGTGTGTGTGTGTGCATGGATCAGTGGAAGAGGGATACATTTAACATGTGCATTGCAATCAGTGTCTTCAGTTTTTCTGGACTTACAAACACAAATGAATGATGTGTGATTAAAAGTACGTTTTAAGAAAAACTAAAATTGCATGGAAATCAGGTTCAAACATGAACACTGCTACTGAATAAGTGATGAGGCACTGACTCTAGAGACAATCTTTCAGTGTAAAGTTTGGAGCCTCCTGCTGCTCTGAAGGTTGACAAAAAGTGTCACAGTCTCTGTCCTGAATGTACCTCAGTGAATCCCTCAGGTATGGTGTAGTGTATGAGCGTTATAGTTGAAGTTGATTAAAAGTCTTTGAGCTCTAATGTTGAGAGAAACTCAAGCGGGGGGTCTGCAGCGATTTAAAAGCTGAAACTTAGAAGGCTGTTCTGCTTTATTGCTTATCAGAGCCCAACCTCAATAACCAGAGAGGAAATCATATAGATTATGACTTCTGAATTGGCATCATAAAATTATTAAATAAACAAAGTTTTTTTGTTTGCACGAGTGTCGGTTCAGTCTGCCTCCATCAGACTGGACAAACGACTCCATCATGTGACCAGAGGTGTCGTAAACCAACATCATTTACCCTCTGTGTGTATTTTAACCATGTTACCCGAGTTGGATCGTCACTTGTGTATTGTATTTCTTTGTTATAGTTTCTGGTAGTGCTCATGGCTATAAGATTAGTGGTGAATGTGGAGAAAAAGACATGACTATACCATCGAGTATTTCCTAACATAGAGTCAGGGTTAGCAGTTGTTTAAGAAAAACATAAAATGAATGTAATGTGGATGTTATAATAAATGTTATTAATACATTTAGTTATTAACACATGACTATAAAGGATGACAAGAGAGCGCTCTGAGACGAGAGAGAGAAGTTGTTTATTTCGAGCGAGCAAACTAGGGTCCATGTCAGCAGTGATTTCTCAGATTGAACGATTTGTCTGTAATGAAACGAATTGATTGATAACACTTTGAACTCTTGAAGCTGTGGGTCAGAAGTGTCAGTCATGTTTAATCAACACTCTGAGGACTCATTGAAAGTGTAATTAAACTGAAGAAGGCTGAGCAGAGAGAGCAGAGGTCTAATGGTTTCAATAAAGCCAATAATGGATTATTAATCTGAACTGTTAACGATGTCATCTGTGGTTATAAAAATGCTAATGAGAGTGAGTCTGGGAAATGTGGCGATGGTGTTCAGATGCAGACTTTAAACATGAGAGGAGATCCGCTAAGAGTCTGCTTCATAAAGTGTTGTGCAGTCATTAATCTGTCAGAGCGACCTCGTCTCCTCCCCTTCATGCAGCCGAGCGTCCTGCTGCTCCCTCATGCAGAGACAGAGAAAACACACCTGATCAGAGTAACCTTGACTTTAACAGCTGCCTGCAGGCGGACGGACTCACTGAGCTGCTCAGACTTTTTATTCCACCAGGATAGATCACAAAAACACTTTAGTTTTACTTTAGAGGGGCACCTAGGGGTGTAGCACGAGGCCAGATTAGAGGGTGACACGGGTCTGTTCAGCAAAAAGTCAGAGTTTGAAGTGTCACTGAAGCCATTTTCACACATGAACGCCTGCGAATTTCAGCTCCAAAACGCCGTGTTATCTGGTTGCTCCCATTTGCACCTGACAGTGGGACGGGGGGGGGGGTCTCCTGCGGCAAGACATGACGTAAAAAGAATGACAGGGACGTGGCCGACGAGTCGCTTTACGTGTAGTTGAACAGAATCTCAATCTGAACTAAAGAGTGGAGAAGAACATACTGGAGAACAGGAAACATAATGCAGCAGGTTCATTAGAGCACAGATATCATAGAGGTGGCGTGCAGACAGTCTATGGTCGTGCAGCGATCACAGGGAATTAACGTCACCACCCCCTCCCACTCGCTCCAGGTGAATTCTCCTGATTATATCCTGCTGCGTTCTCCCATCAGCTCACTCTGACTTTCTGCAGAATAAAAACACCAGGAGGCTGAAAGGAGAAATCCCGGATAAATTCAGAGTGAAAATTTTAGCTGTTTGTGTTCACACATGCAGCTCAGAGTGAAAACTTAGAGGAGTTTCTTCAAGAGTTTTATGTAAGTGGGAACATAGCATTTGATGGCTCTCTTAAGCAGCCCAGATCGCCATGGAATCGGACTCTAAACTTAATCGGTACCAGGTTGTGTCCGGAGGTACGACTTTAAATCAGCCACAAATGCCATCACCTTTTATTAATGATTACCTGCAGACGTTCATCTCAAGAAATATAGCAAGGAATCTTATGATAATAATAATAATACATAGAATTTATAAAGGGCTTTTCAAGGGACACAAGGTGTGTGCAGCCCTTGTTCTTTTTTTTTTAAATGGTCGTGTCTTTTGGTTCCCTCAGGCGCAGCAGGAGACGCAGAAGGCGGCTCTGAGGTATGAGCGAGCGGTGTCCATGCACACTGCAGCCAGAGAGATGGTGTATGTAGCAGAGCAGGGTCTGTTAGCAGACAGGAACACCATGGACCCGACATGGCAGGAGATGCTCAACCACGCCACCGCCAAGGTACACGACCGGGAGTCTACTGATGGTTTGACTTTAGCTTGGTCGTAAGATGACTAAATTTGAAGTTGCGGTTGTCTTCATTTGAAAATCCAAAATATTGGCTCTGATTGTTTTCAATCGTTGCATCTCCATGGTCGACATGTTTGTGTTTCATGTCCTGCTCAGGTGAACGAGGCGGAGGAGGAGCGTCTCCGCAGCGAACGGGAGCACCAGCGGGTCACTCAGCTCTGTCAGGACGCCGAGGCTCGAGTCCAGACTCTGCAGAAAACCCTGAAGAAAGTCATCCTCAAATCCAAACCCTACTTCGAACTCAAGGCTCAGTTTAACCACATCCTGGAGGTGAGAGCACCCGGTGACGTGTTTCTTATCTTACAAAGAAATACAAATACACATAACCAAAATGGTAAAAGAAAACGGATTCAACTTTTGAACTTAAAGAAGGAAAGGCACGGGATCAAGTGTGAGCGTTTCTAACCGGCTGTTTCCTCTCTTTCAGGAACACAAGGCCAAAGTGGTGCAGCTGGAGGAGCAGGTGTCGAAGGTGAAGACGCGTTACTCTGTGGCTCTGAGGAACCTGGAGCAGATCAGTGAGCAGATCCACGCTCAGAGGGGGCGGGTCATGGCCAGCAGGGGGCGCCCTGCCGCCTGCGGGGGGCGGAGCTCCCCTGTAGGAGCCGAGGCTGAGGTCAGAGCGGCGAGCGCTGTGCAGGTCGGCAGCTGTGTGGGCGGGGTCGGAGGGATAGAGAGCGACTGGGCGGACGGAGAGAAAACTCGGCTGTGGGTGGAGCGTCACAGGGAGAGCGGGTGGGGCCAGAGGGAGCGTCAGGAGGTGGAGCATGCAGGGTCGGACTGCATGTCGGTCATCAGCCTGCAGACCATCGCCTCCGACCTGGAGAAGTGTGACTCTGTGGAGCACCTGGGGGAGCTGAGCGACGGAGGGAGCGCGCTTGGGGAGGAGCGCGAGAGGAAGCATGGCGAGAGACCGCTAAGCATTGTGGTGGTGAGGGAGGAGCGTCAGAGGGAGGACACGCCCCCACAGCAGAACGAGAAGAATGAGGAGTTACAGGAGGGAGGGGTCGGCAAGGAGAGGCAGGAGAGCTTCACCAAGCAGCACCACAGGAGAGTGAGTCTATGAGAGGAGGAGGAGGAGGAGGACAGTGATGGACACAGCTGGACACAGCTGCTCCGACTGCAGTGAGGAGGGTCTGTAGGTACATCAAACACACACTGATCCTATCCTGAGTCCTATGTGACAGACATAAACAGAAAGGAAACCTGCATACACACACACACACACACACACACTCACCTTCTGCACAGTCTGCTGCTCAACACACTGAAACAAAGTGCATGAACCAAACCAGCTGGTTAGAAACATTACAAACACGTGCAGATGTTTAATTCTTGTGTATAGTTTTTCCTACCATCCTCCTGTCTGTCACGTCCACACAGCAGCTTGTCGACTCCAGATAACATCAAAGTGAAGGTAAACTTAGTCTGCAGCACTTTGCTTTTGAACACAGCTTCAGAACTTGGTCAGAATCTGGTCGCCTCCACCTGAAGTGTCGTTTCATTTAACATGCTTTACACACATTCGTAAAAAAAAAAAAAGAACGATGCGATGCACATATGTACAGAGACATAAAACGCTTGGATTGTATTAACATGAATTTTGAGCTTATTTTTAAAACCAGGAGCGACGATGAAACTTTATTCCCCAAGAGAGGAAAGCAGAGGTCAGGTCAGATCCTTAATGTGACGACGTCTTCCTCTGTCCATGCTTCACCTGTACACTAGGTTTTTGTTCTAGTAGTTTTTTTCTCCTCCTCATGACAAGAAGACAAACGGCATTGAAAGTATTAAGTAGTAGTATTCTTTAATGTGGGCAGGAAAGACTAAGTTTGTTACATCCTTCGATCCTTGTCCATGTGTTTTAAAATGATACAATCTCCAGACCGATTAATCGGCCAGCTGATAATATCGGCCGTTATTAGCTTATCTAGTGACTATCAGTGTCGGCTAATTTTATCACAGATATGCGCCGATATTACTCGATTTATTCACCAGTCAAACAGCGTTTAATTTGAGTTTCATTGTATTACACAAGCAGTTCTCTTTCACCAGCAGAGGGCGCTATATGGATTACAACAGACATCATCACTCTCCCGAGTGTTAAGAGGTGATGCATGAACATGGGCAGTTACTTTCCAGTTGAGTGACCTTCTTGTCTTTGTTATATATCCTTTCCACAAGCGTTCAATCGCTTATTAGCGATCAACGCAATAAATGTGTATACCTATCTATCTCTACAGACTTCATAGACGTAAGAAAGATATCGGCCGATGTATCTGTATCAGATTTCCCAATATTGATATCTGTATCAGCCCTAATTAGTATGACCCTTATAAGGATGAAATGAGCAAAAGCATATTAGATCATAATTCATGGTCAACAACGTCCTAACTTTCAATAAGCTGTAATAAGGAGGGCAAACTCTATGTTAATGACCTGTTAGCTAAGAGGACTAATATTTTTTTAATTGCAACTAATAAGCAACAAGTTAAAGTCAGGGTTGGTCATTTTCTAAAACTAGCATGATTTTGAAAGTAGCATTCCCTCATCCCCCCCCCCCCTCCCGGGCTCCCTCTAAAGCCACGCCCCTCACTTACTAAACGAGCACCGTTGCTCCAGTAGAAACTACGTCGTCTCACGTCTCATTCAGCGGTAAGTAAACTCACAGTATAAACTCCGTCATCTGTGACGTGCTTTGAGTGTGGGCTAGTGAACACAAGAGGTAGAGAGCGAGCAGGGAGACACGGAGGCGTCTGATTGGTTCATCAGATTGGTACCTCATGGCAGACATTGGTGAGTTTTTACAGGCTTACAAACTGCTACAGATGACGGATTTTCTTCATTCCTTTTTCAGAGAACATGAGTTATTCATTTCTGTCAGGACCTAAAGACAATTTCAACCAAAATCTTAAAAAGTGGATCTGGAGGAAATGACCAACCTTGCCTTTAAAAGGTTAATACTGTGACCTTTCTTTAAAGTGTTACTCTTAGTTTGATGTTTTCTTTAATTAAAATGATCTTCTTCCAAACATTATGAGTCATTTAAATTTAAACAGCGCTCACAGCCGTGAAGCTAGAGGCCCGTTTCTCCTTACACAGTTAGCCATAAACCGATTTATGCCTGATGAAAACAAGTTTGATAAGCTGTTGATGTATTTTCTTTAAAGTGCCTCTGAGACGTGATCGAGTTCGTTCAGCCAAAATGATCGCAGTGTCAGTTAATTATAGAGGAGGATGTCATGTCTATGAACGCCATGAAACTCGAGTGAACGGTGTTAATGAATGTGTTATTAACACTTTGACTGCAGAGAGCGGACATTAAAGTGGAGATTAAATTATTTAATCCTGTTATAAATTATTTATGTTAAAGGAGGATTACCGTAAAACTTCTAGTAATAGCTCGGGCTTTCTTTTTACTTCAGCCTGTGAAAAGACCTCGCCTTTATTTGGGACAGGCGTCAATACGAGACGAGCGCTTTATTATATTCAAGATGGGAAATAAACATTAACACCAGAAAGAATATGTAAGGGGCGCCGGATAGCCTAGGAGGATTATGACGTGTGCCCCGTGTACAGAGGCTACAGTCCTCATCGCAGCAGCCATCGGGTTTGAATCCGACCTCGGCCCTTTTCTCCCAACGCTTCCTCTCTCTTCAGCTGTTCTCTCCAATAAAGGCAAAAATGTCCTTAAAAATATACACCTTAAAAAAAGAATGAAAAGTTAGGATATTATAAAAACAAATTAAATACATCACTGATTTGATTTTGCATTCTTAAAGGGATACTTCACCCATTTGCATTAAGCTTTGTATCATTAGAAACCTGGTAGTATTTTTGAATGGCCGTGCATCCCGCCCTGTCCCCTGAGATGGGAAATCCGATGACGCAAAAATCGTAATTTTGCGTCATCGGAAGCTGTTTTCTATCTGGAAAAACGGCAAGTTGACACGGGGCCTTAGACAGTGTATACACCTGTTTAAAGGCCTACACGCATACTATTATTATTGTCTTCGTTGGACAGGTGCTTTAGGTCAATTTTTATGTCTTGCAGATTTTTCACCCCCCATTTAAAAGCAACAAACTAAATGCATCCTGGCAACACCGGGCTAGTGAAAGGGGCGGGGCCTTAAATTGGGAGGAGCTTTTATTTGAAGTTTTACGGTATGTGACTGAAAATGAAGACGGATGATATTTTGTAAGAGTGTGGTGTGATACTGAGTATTTTATGAGATGTATTTTGTGTTTCAGATGTAATATAACTCCAGTGTGTAACTCCATGATCTGTTTTCACTTTAATTTATGTTTGAAATAAACAAGAGATTTTAAAAATGTGTTAACTTATATGTATATTTGTATATATTATATAACTGTATATTTTTAAGCTTTCGACAGGTGAGATCAGCTGTTTCTGTAATGAACCTGAAACCACAAGTGATTGGACTTAAACACACCACACAGTGTCACAGAGCAGAGAACATCCTTTTACTTTGAAAATCAAAATCACAGACAAACAAATCCTAAAAAGGGAACAGGCTACGACAAAATCCGAGAAAAAAAAACCCAGCAGAGATCAAAATACCAAAATGTCTCAACTTCAGTAACTGTGGCTGGAACGCTGAAGGAAGGAGAGACGCAGACTGAGGAAACACCTGGAGACAATCAGGACGGGGCAGGAAACACATGAGGACAGGAAGTGGAGGATCTGAAACAAGAGGAGACGTAAGTAGCTGGACATGACAGTTTCCCATCATTTACTGTCTGCACTCTGAAGTAACATAAAGTAATGAGACTGAAATCCTCTCTAAGTTCTCACTCTTAAACAAATTAAAGGGACAGTGACGTTCTTGTCCACAGTAAGTGTATCAGACACAGGAGATGTGGATCAGCTTGTACCCTTTTAGGAGAAACCGGTCAGAGTGCCATTACAGGAAGCTGCAGACAGAACCATTTGTAGGACGTAACTTAGCAAATTTAAAAGAAAAACCTTCCTAAAAATTGATTACGACATAATTTTGTTTGGTTTTTTTGCACCTTTTTGTTATTTGAATAGTTTTATAGCATCTAGAAGTTTGTTTTGTCAGAGTTTAGACAGAGTAAAGAATTACGTTCATGTATTGGGCCAATTTCACCTTTAAAGGAGTAATATGTATCTCTGACACCTAGTGTTTAAAATGGGTACTGCGGTCTAAATTCTAAACATTGTAGATAGTCTACAATGCTAGAGTCGATGCTCACACAGGTTGCCATGTGTTGGACACTGTAGCTTCAGTGTTTAGTCAGCTCTGCATCGCTCTGTAAACCTTTCTGCGTTCTAACCTCTCCATTTTTCAAAAGCATCTCCAATCTTGATCCTAGTTTGAGCACGTTTCTGCTCGTGGAGCTTATTAGAAACATGCAGAGGCTTTTTAGGTCGGGTACAATCACTTCTATCTGAACCAGTTCTCTTGCCCCCTTACATCGCTGCAACACCTGTTGACCTGATAACTGCTCTCATATCTGGCAAACCGAGGGGCGTCCAAAACGGCGGTGTGGGGGGTGTCTTAAAACCACTTTCTGTCCTCAACAGCTGCTGTAACTATGATTTAAGCTGTAAAAACGACTAGAACTTTGCCATTTTTAATTTAAAGTCCTGTGTTCTTAAAAAAAAAAAACGAATTTCCCCTCGCGGGATCAATAAAGTATACATTATTTAAGGATCACACGTGTCCAAAACCTGCAGTTTATTTTCTACACAGTTGCATTTAATGACTGGTTGACCCTCCTTTGGCAGCAATAACCTCAACCAAATGTTTCCTGTAGTTGCAGATCAGACCTGCACAACGGTCAGGAGGAATTTTGGACCATTCCTCTTCACAAAACGTCTTCAGTTCAGCAATATTCTTGGGCTGTCTGGTGTGAATCGCTCTCTTGAGGTCATGCCACAGCATCTCTATCGGGTTGAGGTCAGGACTCTGACTGGGCCACTCCAGAAGGCGTATTTTCTTCTGTTGAAGCCATTCTGTTGTTGATTTACTTCTGTGCTTTGGATCGTTGTCCTGTTGCATCACCCATCTTCTGTTGAGCTTCAGTTGGTGGACAGGTGGCCTTAAGTTTTCCTGCAAAATGTCTTGATAAACTTGAGAATTAATTTTTCCGTTGATGATAGCAATCTGTCCAGGCCCTGATGCAGCGAAGCAGCCCCAAACCACGATGCCCCCTCCACCATACTTCACAGTTAGGATGAGGTTTTGATGTTGGTGTGCTGTGCCTTTTTTTCTTGTTTATGTGTTCCTTCAAAACAACTCAACTTCGGTTTCATCTGTCAACAGGATGTTTTGCCTGTAGTGCTTTGGTACATCCAGGTGCTCTTTTGCAAACTTCAAACATGCAGCAATGTTTTTTTATACAGCAGTGGCTTTCTCCGTGGTGTCCTCAGCATGAACTCCATTCTTGTTTAGTGTTTTACGTATCGTAGATTCGTCAACAGAGATGTTAGCATGTGCCAGAGATTTGTGTAAGTCTTTAGCTGACACTCTAGATTCTTCTTCACCTCATTGAGCATTCTGCGCTGTGCTCTTGCAGCCATCTTTACAGGACGGCCACTTCTAGGGAGAGTAGCAACAGTGCTGAACTTTCTCCATTTATAGAGAATTTGTCTTACCGTGGACTGATGAACATCGAGGCTTTTAGAGATTCTTTTGTAACCCTTTCCAGCTTTATGCAAGTCAACAATTCTTAATCGTAGGTCTTCTGAGAGCTCTTTTGTGCGAGGCATGGTTCACATCAGGCGATGTTTTTGAGAGTAGCAAACTCAAAACTGAAGTGTGTTTTTTATAGGGCAGGGCAGCTTTAACCAACACCTCCAATCTCGTCTCATTGATTGGACTGCAGGTTGGCTGACTCCTGACTCCAATTAGCTCTTGGAGAAGTCATTAGCCTAGGGGTTCACATACTTTTTCCACCCTGCACTATGAATGTTTACATGTTGTGTTCAACAAAAACATGAAAGCATATAATTATTTGTGTGGTATTAGTTTACGCAGACTGTGTTTGTCTATTGTTGTGACTTAGATGAAGATCAGAACAGATTTTATGGCCAACTTAAGCAGAAAACAAAGAAATTCCAAAGGGTTCACATACTTTTTCCACCCTGCACTGTGAATGTTTACATGTTGTGTTCAATAAAAACATGAAAACATCTAATTGTTTGTGTGGTATTAGTTTACGCAGACTGTGTTTGTCTATTGTTGTGACTTAGATGAAGATCAAAACACATTTCATGGCCGATTTATGCTGAGAACTAGGAAATTCCAAAGGGTTCACATACTTTTTTTTGCAACTGTGTCTTACCTCTGTGTTTCTGTGGTTGTCAGGTGACGTAAACATGCACCATTTTGAAGAGATGGAAAATGAATAACCCCATGCTGGTGCTCCACCGAGTGTTCAATGGTGGCCCACACTTTCTGAGCTCTTCTCACCTGCCAGGCGTCTGGGCCGGTCAGGTGACTGAAAGCTATAAATTGGGGCCCTGGGTAGTCAGCCCCACTGCCTGCCCCCCCCCCCCCCCACTAAGACACCCATGTGCAGAGCTGAGCGGTGAAAGGAGAAAGTGATAATTGGTAGTGATGGAGTGAAGCAGGGATAGAGGCGGTGTATAATTTCAGGGCTGCAGTGGGTGAAGGTGACACATGATGGAGAAGGAGGCGGAGGAGGCCGTCACACTGACAGTGATGATGACAGCTGAGAGGATGAAGAGCAGTCAGGACGCCCTCTGACAGCATCCTCTCCCTCTTCCTCTAAGGTGCAGCAGCAGAGTCTGTGTGTGTGATAATGAACCGATCCTTTTATAATCCTGTTATAAACACAGCATGAAAATGGAAAAGAGGACAAACACCGCTGAGGAAGAGGAGCAGCTGCAGAACATCGGCGTGAAACTGTGACGTGAAGGAGAGAGAGGGCCGAGTTAGAGTCAGCTCGTTAAATACTTCGTCTTCAAAAAAGGAGACAATTTGACATTTATTTCTGGGTCATTTTTGTACAGTGGGCTGCACGACGGCCTCACATTGAGAAGGTTCCTGGTTCAAATCCCTATCACAGTGTGGCGTTTGCATGTTCTCCCCGTGCATGTGTGGGTTCTCTCCGGGTACTCGAGCTTCCTCCCACAGTCCAAAGACTGAGGTAAACTGGTGACTCTAAATTCCCCATAGGTGTGAATGTGAGTGTGGCTGGTTGTCTGTCTCTATATATCAGCCCTGTGATTGGCTGCTGAACATGGATGGATGAATATTTGGACATGTTTATGGATAGTAATGACGAACATTTGTGAAACCGGCTGTACAGACCGCGACATGATCCTTAATGGATCAAAGTGGGTCCATTAAAAGCTCTTCTTGTGACTCTTGTTAAATGTGTCTGGCAACATCACAGAAAGCACCCTGACAGGGAGAGACCTTTGTGTTATAGAGGAACATTTTTTTTTTTTTTTTTTTAACCAGACCGACTCTGCGGCTGAAAACCAATCAAAGATCACCCTCGTTTTGGAACAGACTTTACTGGCTTGGTATTTCACCTCATTATGGTTATATTTTCTCTTCTTTTTCACTTAGTTTGTGTTTGCAACATTCACGAGTTTGAATATCATCCAATCACTGAATTGTATCTGCTCCTAAACTCACCCGCGTGCTGTCATTGGCTGGAGGAAACACACCAGCTCCGCCCAGAAACGACCCGAGTCAAACCAGAACAGGAAAAGCTCTGCAAGCACAGTCAGCACCACACATGTACGGACGCCCATAAGGGACAATTGAGCAGCTTTACTTTAGTATAAGTCAATATTTTATTGTTTTGGGGGAAAAGCTGCTGACTCTATCTTTAAGTGACTAATTTAAATCAACCAATCAACCAACCTTCTTTCTTCAGTCTTTTTTAAGTGTTTTCTATTTATGTTGCTGATTTTCCTCGACGTCGAGTCTTGAACAAACACAGAGACTGAACACTGAGCAGCCTGTCTGTCTGCAGACCTTTGTTCTGACTCAGAGAGGACATGAAAGAAGGAAAGTTAATGAGATTTTTTTTTCCCACAAAGCAGAAAACGGAGCAGAAGCTGAACCGGACTCCAGCTGTGTGACTCAGCCTGCAGATGAGAGGACAGGTGAAGAGGAAGACCCTCCTGATGCTGAAGGTGAGGATGATGATGATGATGATGATGATGATGATGATGATGATGATGATGATGATGCAGATGCAGGTCTCGGTGTTGCATCTGCAGGTGAACATTTCAGTGTAAACTTAAAAGAGGGATAACCCCTTAAGATGAACCATCTGGTTTTGAAGGGGGTCCTTAAAGTGACTGTGGGGCCTGTCAGAGTCTCCATCCATCACTGCAGGACGGCGCTGACTGCTCCACTGTGGGAGGTCTCTCATATTTATCAAAGGAGGAGGGGTCGGGGGCAGTCTCCCCATTAACCAATCACAACTCTGATTTTACCCTCCACAGACTGCAGACAGAGGGATCCTTCTGCTGCATTCAAAAGCGTGGGAAATCCCACAATGAGAGACAAACCAACACCCTGTAGGTTTTTGTCTTTATGAGTAACATGGGAAAAATGTCGATTAAAGAAAAAAAAACCTTTTTATATTCATTTATAAAATATTTTGTATTTTCAACGGACTCTGTAGCTTTGTACCCCACTGCCATGTCATTCTTTTTTTTTTGTCACATCTGGACTCAGGAGACCCCCCCCCCCCAACCCCCCTCCCGTCCAACAGGTATAGTCTCCCGCTGTGAGGTGCATGTGTGAACAACCTGATCAGGAGGATGACACCAGTTGTTTGAACTTAATCTTCATGTTCATCTGAATCAAACCAGAAGTGACCAAAGTAGGACAAGAGGGAGGATTACTGTCTCTGTCCTCATTAACATGTCACCATGGTGGCAACTTGTCAATCACAGGTAGCCCCGCCCTGAACCCTTCCCTGCTCATCTACTTGACTTTAATGCTGAGAGGTCAGACAACACAATCTTATGTCTCTGTGTCAGATTAGGTGATCACAGGGCCATACATTTGTGCGGTGACTTGACCGACAGACATGACAGACTACAGGGTGGTACTCGACCAATTGACATGACCGACAGGATGACGTTGGAGGGTAAAGGGGCGGGGCTAGACAACTGACTGTAAACAAACAAAAACCGTTGTTGCCAGAGCTCTACAAACATTTCCTCTGCCTCATAGTTTCCTCTGGGGCTGATGGCTCCTGAAACTTTACGTCCGACAGATAAGGCTTGAATCGTGTTTAGATCTTGTAGTCTAACCTCTGCATAAAAGGAAACATTATTTACTAAATGAGCATCATGCTGTATTAAGGAAGACTTGAAACAAGCGATCGAGACCATAAACTTGTTTAATGAGGGAATAAAAAAACTGAGAAGTAGGAACATTTTATCATAGACTTCTAAATAATCTGACAGTGAAGTTGCCCCCTGCTGGTCATTAGAAAGAAGAATGCAGGTTAAAGGCACTAGGAGGGGCTACATTCAATTATTATAAAGAATCTGAGTAAAAAGAGGATTAACTAAAGTTTTTGTTGTAAAAAAAAAAAAAAAATCAGATTTTTTTTCCTACTGCAAGTGAAGGCAGCATCTCTCAGTGACGTCACCAGAGAGTGAGGGAGGGGGCTCCTCCGTTAAGTGAGTGTGTGTATCATACTGTGCGTGTGTGTGTGTGTGTGAGAGAGAGAGAGAGGGAGAGAGAGAGAGAGGGAGAGGGAGAGGGAGAGAGGGAGAGAGAGAGAGAGAGAGACAGAGAAGCAGCTCTGCCTCTGTCAGTGTGTGAGGATTCACTGATCCGGACTGAGCGGAGGACTCGGGGGACTCGGAGGACTAACTGAGTCCAGGTTCACTGAATCAGTGCTGCAGCCTGTGGAGCCTCTTCATCCTCTGCACCATCATCATCATCACCACCAGCAGCAGCTGCAGCGTGTGAAGCTGCAGACACAGCAGGTCTGTCTGAGTGAGTATCACACACACACACACACACACACACACACACACACACACACACACACACACACACACACACACACACTGAGCTTCATGCTGAAGTTTGATGTTGAAGCTGCAGGTTTCATGTTCACACCTGACAGCAGCTCAAAAGACTGCCAGCTGGCTCACACACTTATCGATCCCAGCTGATCACACACTTAATATATCTGATCAAAGAGCAGAACAGGCTGTCATCACACTGATTTATTTATTTTCTGTCAGTCAAACATCACATTTCAAATCTCAGTATCCTTTCTGCACGTGCGCTATCTTCACCCGGCGTCACGCACGAGGAGATCGCGTGTGGTCCTCATAGATGATGAGTACAGGTGCAGCTGATGCAGACAGTGAGGTCAGTTTATCTCCCTGTCATCAGGTCTGCAGGTGTGTGTGTGTGTGTGTGTGTGTGTGTGTGTGTGTGTGTGTGTGTGTGTGTGTGTGTGTGTGTACAGTGACACAGTGAGGTAATGATGAGCTTAAAGAAGAATCTATTGTTATAAAGAAAGAGATGTAAAGAGTGATCGTCAGTCTGTTTGTATTCATTTCTCAGGGTGTGTGCATGTTGGATGCTGCGGTTTCAGCACGTCACATTGTGGGAAAAATAAGCAATTCATATTTTCGTCCATTAAACATTACTCCCTATTGAGCGATGCATGAAATTTAGAGCATGCATGTTTTTTTTTTTACTGCAATAAAGCAACTTGAGCAAAGACTTTTCTGCATTTTTACATCAACTTTATTGAATATTAGTAAAAGTCTGAGAATATTTCTTCGAAAAAAAAGGCAACAATCTCTGATTCCAGCTTCATAAAGATCCCATATTACCCTCATGTTTACCTTTCACATTGTCAGTCTGTGAAACCTTTAGAAAAAACCTCCTTATTTATCTGATACTGGCATCAAAACCCCCTCTCTCAGCCTCTGCCTGACACAGTTTGTTTCAGCTGCTGTCTCTTTAAGCCCCTCTCTCCCCATGTGCCCGCTTTCTCTGATTGGCCAGCTCTCTGGAAGCCTACTTGGGGGAGGCAGAAGGCTGCAGGGCTGCCAGGGGACGGCTGCTCTCCAGTGCTGGGAGAGGAGAGCCTATGTAAGAGGTTTCAGCTGCTTATGTAGAGGCTGAAGCCGTTAAAGATTCTTGGTTTCATATCAGGGAACTCTCGTGTGATTTGAAGAACGAGCCCTTTGCGCCCTCTGCAGACTCATCCTTGGGATTACTCCGACATACGCTTACCTCATGATCTGAAACTTTGCCCACGTTTAGTATTTAGGATTTCACAGTGGTGATTCCAGAGGCAAAAGATCTCACAGAAACTCATGTGATTAATGTGACTTTAGAAGACTAACAAATATAGAGGATGATCAACATTGTGAGCTGGCGAGACTTCAAAAAGGCGCTCGTGTTGTTGCCATTTGTTCCACTTGGCTCGGGGCTCAGTTGTGTTTAAATTCGCCGCCACGTGTGTGAGCTGTAAAAGTACACAACATCCGATTGATGACACTTCCCGGTCTGCTCGTTCTCATTGGCTAGTGTGGGTTTTCCAGCCTGATCTGGAATCGTGAATATCAAACGACTCTTAATTACTGGCACCGCACATTTGTGGATTACTTAATTTGAGGACAAATGATTGATTGCAAAGTCTAAGGTGGGGCAAATCAGGCCCAAAATCAGGCTTAAATCGTCTAGTGCGTAACCACCCTACGAGGCATCACCCGTATAATTTCAAATCAAATGACACCAGCAAGTGGTAACAAGGTGTACAGCATAAGGCTCCGTCGGTATTCATGCATATTGTATTAATTCACATCACTCTCTTCAAGGACACCAGCGGCTTTAACCCACAGAAAACACAAGTTGTTGATGTACTGCTGCCTCGATCAAAGTAACAAATGGAGGCAGTAGTAGATCAGCAACTCTCGTGTTCAATGGCGTCTGGTGTCTTTGAAGAGAGCGATGTAATGTCAGTTTGTGGTCAAAGAAATCATCTTCCTTTTAACGAAAAAGGTCTCTCTCTTTGGGGATGCTTTCGGGTTAAATGTTACACTCTTAAGAATACCGATCTGATCCTGCAGGGACAAAAACCGGAACCTGTAGTGGACTCACTTTGTTTCCTTTAAGGATTGTGTCGCAGCCATTACAGCCGGTTTCACTGCTGCCGGATGAAACGATCTTCTAGAGCAATTCATTCAAAAGTGTTGTTCCCTGTTTGACACTGTTTGACCCAGATTACAGAGCACAGGTTTAAACATACCATCATTTAGAGCCTCTTCAAAGTGAAGCGCTCGGCTAACCGTGGCGTGTGTGTCTCTGTCCGTGGTGCTGAAGCTCGTCTCTGAAGTCGGCTGTTATGGAGACAGAACGACCCAGTGCAGCTCGTTGCCTACCAATAAGCTGTGTGTGTGTGTTTCTGTGTGAATATATGAAAGTGTTGGAACATTTTTAGTTTGCATTTATTTGCCTCTCATTTCCATTTTTTCTCTCTCTCTCGCTGTCTGTGTTGTCTTTCGGTCGGCTCAGTCACACAGAGAGTTGGGAGAAGGGGTGTGTGTGTCAGGGTTTTGCTCAAGGACAGGTGTTCTCGCTGGGATCAAACCTGACACTGTGATGGGGGGGGGGGGGGGGGGGGAGCGGGGAGGGGTTCTGGAAAGGTCTCTGCAGCAAGAAATCAAACACCTTTCGAGCAGCTGCTTCACTGAGAGGGGATAATCTGTAAGCTGAGGAGAGAGGGAGTCTGTGAGGATCTATGGATCATACAGGATGTCTGGACTCTTCTCTGTCACACTGACAGACACACACACACACACACACACACACACACACACACACACAAACTGACACACCGCTAAATACTCCAACTTCTCCTACAGGCGTCTTCTCTATCTTTTCTCTATAGAAGTTAAATTCCTATTTAAGCCTGAACTTTGCCGTGTTTTGCGAACATACCCGGACCACCTTTTATAAAATTAAGACAAGTGAACTTTGGCCATAAGAGATGCGTGTGTGTGTGTGTGTGTGTGTGTGTGTGCTACATTTAAAGAATCACTGGGTCGTCACACGTTTCATTTTCCAGTTTCTCTCTTAAGAGTAAACTGTATTTCTTTGGGTTTTGGACGGATCATTTACTTGAGACCAGGATCGATATTTCCCCATTTTCTCATCGCTGAGATCAAGTAAAATGATGAAAAAGCTAAAAGGAAAGTAACAACTTGGGTTTCAGCTGCGGCCCTGGTGGCAGGTGTATTTGAAGGGGGGGGTTAGCAGCCTGGTGTTTCCCTTCTTAGGGCTCAGGAGATCACAACAAAAAAGGGCAGACAACATCAAGTTAAAGTTTAAATAACTCCAAGAAATTAGACAAATACACTTTCTGCAGTGAGGTGGCTTCAAAGTATCAGAGCCTGATATTGTTGTGAAATGATTTGCCTTTATATCAACACTACATGAAATTCAACACATTCAAAATATTAGCAAAAGAGCGGAGAAGAACATAGTGGCAAAGACATAATGAAGCTGTTTCATCACACGCACGGAGATCGCACATGTTGTGAGTCTGTAGTCTTATTCCAGTCGCAGGATATCAACGTCATCACCCTCCTCTCGTTTGATTTTCCTGAATGTTTCCTGTTGCGTTCTTATGTCGGCTCACCTCACTGAGTTCATGCGGAAATGTCCTCTGGGGTTGGGAGGAAAAATTCTGGGAAAAGTCTGGGTGAAAGATTTGGTTGTTTGCATGCACACATGCAGCTCACCCCGAACATTTCTGGATGATGTGTGGTAATGTGAAAGCACGATTTTAATATTCTGCCGCACCTTGATCATATTTTACCCGTAACACCAGCTCATATAATCTCACTTACACGATTGTTTTTCTGTTTGCTACTCGCCTGTATGAACACAGAGAGCTGAAGCCTCATGTATTCACTGAATGTTCTGACTGACGACTGGACCCTCTGTTATTAGAGGTGATCAGAGTGCATGCTGGGACACGCTCCAGCCCTCCATTAGCTCCCGATCAGAGCTGGATCATCATGTCGTACTGTTTCGCACGTGGTGTTTCTCATTTCGGCCTCTTGTCCGTTCTGCTGATAACGGCTCATCTTTGTCAAAGAGATGATTATCTGCTACACGCTGAAACCTGCGTCAGCGTGTGACTGTTTTTCTACCGTCACACACTCGAATGTTATGTTTGATCAGAGCCCCTCGCTGTGTCCGTCCTGCTGCTGTTAAAGTGGAACACGGTTTTAAAGCAGCTGCCGTTTGAGAGAAACAAATCTTTAGTTTTTGGTTACACAATAATCTTTGAATGATAATTAAAAACATCTCAATGAAACGATGTATTTATTCATGTCGTCCGCTCTGTTCTATTTGTTCCATCTGTGTTTAAATCACATCACAGTCCACCTTAAATCACATCACAGTCCACCTTAAATCACATTGCACAGTCCACCTTAAATCACATCACAGTCCACCTTAAATCACATCACACAGTCAACTTTGTTATCGTAACTCAGTTATCTTTATCTTTAACCTTAAATCATATCACATCACACAGTCCACCTTAAAGCACATCACAGTCCACCTTAACTAGAATCACTCAGTCCACCTTAAATCATATCACAGTCCACCTTAAATCATATCACAGTCCACCTTAAATCATCACTCAGTCCACCTTAAATCATCACACAGTCCACCTTAACTATAATCACTCAGTCCACCTTAAATCATATCTCAGTCCACCGTAAATCATAACTCAGTCCACCTTAAATATCACTCAGTCCACCTTAAATCATCACACAGTCCACCTTAAAGCATCACTCAGTCCACCTTAAATCATCACTCAGTCCAGCTTAAATCATCACACAGTCCACCTTAAATCATCACACAGTCCACCTTAAATCATCACACAGTCCACCTTAAATCACGTCACACAATCCACCTTAAATCACAACACAGTCCACCTTAATGCTGCATTC